AAGCAAAACGTTGTGGGGAGTGATTTCTCCATTTTTCGAGACTACAGGGCTGGAGCATCCCCTCCTGAGGGCGATGCTCTGCTCACTCCCTGAGCTGTGTGTGTATGGGTTCTCATTTCCTCTTGGCACAGGGCCTCAGGGGCAGGGTACAGGGGGGCCTGCTGGGCAACCTGACACCAGGGGCAGGGATGGTGCCCAGAGAAGCTGTGTTCTGGTTCCAGCTCCGGGCCTCAGTCTCCCCAGCTGCATAATGGAAGGACAGGGCTATGCTTCCCAGGTTCTTCCTGCTGGGATAGGCTGGCCTGTTACTGGAATTGGAGTCACTAGATTCAGAGACAGGCCCCCTGGCCGGTTCGCTCCGGGCTGGCCACTTGCCTTCCTTTAATCAGAAGAGCTATTTGGTCACCCTTCTGGGCCACTTCTTACTGACCTTTCTCCAACTGTGAAGGACACACATCCTTCCCCACAGCCCATTCTCGCGGCCTGAGTCTCCGCACACCCTGTGCCCACTGGCTCCCCCCTCCTCCCTCCTGTCTACTCTTCTCCCCCTCCCCATGCCCCCCCCTCCTGCAGATTCCCAGATCCCCCACCAGTCCCCTCAGGTCAAATTCCCTTCTTCAGTCTCTTTGCAGCCCAGAACCTCGGGGCCACTGCCAGGTCCAGCTCCTCTGGGATATAAGGGACATAAAGCCCGCATTATGCTGCCTCTACCTGCGCTCACCTCCTCCCCACTGAGCCGCCAGGAATGTCCCTCTCCCAGCCTCACCGCATCTGTACTCTTTAATTTACTCAAGATATTCCTGCCAGACTCATTTTCTCCTGTACTCACCCGGCTGGCTGGCTCCCTCAGACGCGGGGCCCCAGACCCAGGCTTTCCTGGCCCAGCCCCTCCTGGCCGTGCTGCCCTGCGTTCTGGGCCCCATCCTGCCCTCTCTGCAGCCCTCAGCCTGGCTCCTTTCGCAAAGGCCTCTCCCTTGTCCGGGGTCCCCAGACGCCCCCGCGCGACTCCCACTGCCCAGAGCCCTGCTGGTGGGTCCCTCTTGTGCCTGCAGGGTCTCCTCCCCACTGTGTCCCCCTGTGCTTCTTTGCTTTCCAGGGCGGCCCCTGACCCCGCCATATTCCAGGAAGCTCACAACGCCCGCCGTTTTATACTCATAATTGTGTGTTTTTTTTCTTTTTTCTTTTTAGATTTTTATTTATTTATTTATTTGAGAGAGAGAATGAGAGACAGAGAGCGTGAGAGGGAGGAGGGTCAGAGGGAGAAGCAGACTCCCCGCCGAGCAGGGAGCCCGACGCGGGACTCGATCCCGGGACTCCAGGATCATGACCTGAGCCGAAGGCAGTCGCTTAACCAACTGAGCCACCCAGGCGCTGGTGTGTTCTTTTTCTTAAAAGGGGCTCCGCAAACTGAGTGAGCTCCAGGAACTACCACATCGATCTGCCCATCTCCTGCGCGTGCAGTGTTTGACAAGTGTTGCCTGGAGAGGGTCCTGTTAATCCCATGTTCCAACTAGGTTTCAGTGCCCTGCATGACAGCTCAGGCGCTGAGCTTCCCAGGGGCTCAGAGAACCGGGCCTGTTCTAAGGGTGCGTTTTTCCCTCTCTCTCGCCCTCCCTCGCTCCCTCCATATAGAGGGCTAGGTCGGAAGAAGAGAGCCATGGCACAAACCAGCTCACAGAGGGCTGTCCCTTTGCCTTCCCCCATGACACCCCTTCATCTCCCCTAGGAAGCTTGCTCTTGGCCTATTTATTACTTTTTTCTTTTTTTTTTTTATTTTAAAAGATTTTATTTATTTTTCAACAGAGAGAGAGACAGTGAGAGAGGGAACACAAGCAGAGGGAGTGGGAGAGGGAGAAGCAGGCTTCCCGCGGAGCAGGGAGCCCGATGCGGGGCTCGATCCCAGGACCCTGGGATCATGACCTGAGCCGAAGGCAGACGCTTAACCAGCTGAGCCACCCAGGCGCCCCACTTCTTGCTAGTTGAAACCAAAAACTTTTATTGCAGGGTACTGGCGAGTTTACCGAGTTGCCGGGTGGCCAGGGAGCCAAGCTTGGCTGGATCTAGCCTCACACTGTGGATGAGCGCTACCAGGCCTGCTGCTTGGGATTGCCCTGTCGCTGCCTGCGGGGTGAGGCCCCCAGGGGTCAGCAGTGCTGGAGGTCTCCCCTGGGGCGGGTCCTGCAGAGCTATCCTTAAACCAGACTCAGACTTCTCCTCAGTCCACTGGGGCCGTGGGCTGAATTGTGTGCCCCCCCAAAGATATATGGACGTCCTAACCACCAGTGTTTCGGAATGTGACCTTCTTTGGAAATATGGTCATTCCTGATGTAGTTAGTTAAGATGAGGGCATACTGGAGTAGGTAGGCCTATAATCCAATATAATCGGTGTCCTTTTAAGACACACGGACACACAAGGTGAGATCATCATGTGACGACAGACAGAGATGGGAGTGATGGATGCATCTAGAAGCCGAGGAATGCCAAGGATCACCAGCAACCACCAGGAGCTGGTAGGGAGGACTCCTCCTACGGGTTTCAGGGGAACACGGCTCCACCAGCACCTTGACTTCAGACTTTGGCCCTCCAGAACTGTGAGACAGGACACTTGGTTGTTCTGAGTCACCTCGTTTGAGGCACTCGGTACAGCAGCCCCAGGAAGCCAACCCAACTGGCTACAGGGCCTCAGCAGTAGGACGTGGCAGCAGGTGACGTCTGAGCCATCTGCTCATTCCGTTTACCTGTGCCTTTGGGACCTTCCTCCCAAGGCCGGGCTGGTACCTACCACCTCCCCTGGTGATTAACTGCTGCTGGACACACCCAGCCTATGGCTGGCCGGCTCAGACCACACTCAGTCTGAGATGTCTAGCTCAAGGTCACAGTTACTGGGTCTCTTCCATGGCTGACGTTCAGCCTGGGGGCTGTTTCTCCAAATGAAGGACGGTTACTTGCTGTTGAAAGTGTGGCTTTGCTCCTAGAGCTGGGCATCTGTGCTGTGATCCCTTCATCGGGGCTGGCCTGGGTCCTCTGGTCTACCACCTTCTGGTCTGGCATAGACCCTTAGGGCCCCCTGGCTCTACGTTCTCTGCTATCAGGGGCCCAGCTCCCTGCACAGAGGCCTGAGTCAGCTGGAAAGACTTCACTTGCTCTCGACACAAAGCGGAGAGCCTGTGGTATAGCTATTTATTTATTTATTTATTTTTAAGATTTTATTTATTTATTCATGAGAGAGAGAGAGAGAGGCAGAGGGAGAAGCAGGCTCCCAAGGAGCAGGGAGCCCGATGCGGGACTCAATCCCAGGACCCTGAGATCATGACCTGAGCCGAAGGCAGACGCTTAACCATCTGAGCTACCCAGGCGCCCTGTGGTATAGCTATTTAATACGTGAGACTGAGCTGCCCATGGCGGGGTAATATCTGTTGTCTCCCAAATCCATAGGGACTCACCATGCTTTGTACCTCTTCCTCAGTGTAGACTACAAAGTTCATTTTGCAGGGGAGATGCCCAACAGTCCCAGGAACTTTGCTCAGGCAGGAGGGGTTTATTGTATCCTTGGGCACACAGGGGTCTTGCTGACACGTTGAGAGGATACCTAGGACTTCCCGCTCATCAGGTGCCGGCAGCGTGGTGTTATCCGTGTCATGGTCCAGCCTGATGACTTCTGCAACAATGAGGGGTTCAGGTCCTGTGGACGACATCATAGCAAGGAGCAAGAGAGCAACCCTGCAGACCCAGTTCTCTGCAGATCCGGCCAGGTAACAAATTACCTCTGATGCCATCTGCATGGTAGGCTGCAGAGGGGAGTTTCCCACATCCATCTCTGCCCATATTTGCTCCAGCAAAGGGGCCCCGGGGGAGATCAGCAGCTGCAGGTGGATTCCCTACCCGATTAAGCTTCAATGACTCCACTGTCATTCTCCAGGACACTTAGGTCTCTGAAAAGCCCAAACTGATAGGATTTCATTCACTGTCTCTCCATCTTTTGAGGCTTGATGGTAAAAACGGTATCTCTGATGTCAGCAGGGGTGTGGTAGTGCTTTGATACTTTTTATAAGGAGAGGGAGCTTTGGAGACATCTGAATAACTGGTTTCTGCTGTGACAGTCCTTGTTCTGTGAGCCGGGAAGCCAGTGTGGGGATTCCAGCCATACAATCTAGAAACTCCCCCATGGCATGGGGTCCTGGAGCCACAAGACTTACGTATGATAGAAGCATTCAAGAATGTGTTTTATCACTGACTCCCATAAACCAGTGCCGGGACTGGTGGGCTACAGTCGAGAGACCCTACTAACTCATCCTTGGTCATTAGAGCTCAGGATCAGTGTCAGATAATCCCCCCAAAGTCTTGGTTCTTCTTTGCCCACTCCGTAGTTCCCCGTGATGGCCATAGGTAGCTCGGGAGCCGTTCGGCAGCTTTGCAGCACTGACCTGTGGAGTTATTGACACGTAGCGTTATCTCGGGGAATTTCCCTCGGGAATTCCAGGGGCTCTGAGGTCTGCAGTGTGGGTGAGGCACCATGACGCTCCACCCTGATGGATCAAGCCAGGTCTCTGCTTGTCTGGCTGGAAGTTTCTTTGGTCGTACGAGTCAAGGAGGGCTTTAGCAGCTGTTCTTCTATTTAGGTCCTGGGAATCCTGCAATCAGTGGAAGACTTCTGCAGACCAGCCCCTTTGACGGCCACTTGGATCCCGCTGCCCATCTCAGGAACATCTCCCCGCTCCGCCCCTCAGGGATCCCATCATTCCCTCTGAAATCAGAGAGCCCAGCATGGCAGCAAATCCTAGGCGGTCGTGGCCGCTCTGGGGGCGGATATCCACTTCATCTCTCTTCAAAGACGCTGGTGAGGGGCGCCTGGGTGGCTCAGTCAGTGAAGCATCTGCCTTCGGCTCAGGTCATGATCTCAGGGTCCTGGGATCAAGCCCACGTCGGGCTCCCTGCTCAGCGGGGAGTCTGCTTCTCCCTTTCCCTCTGCCCCTCCCTCCCACTCCCCCCACCATGCTCTCTTTCTCGTTCTGCTCTCTCTCTCTAATAACTAGGTGAAATCTTTAAAAAGAAAAGAAAAGAAAAAAGATGCTGGTGATAACCTTGATAACTAGTCTCAGGTAAAGGGACTATGTCCGCAGGGGGACCGTGGTGATGGGGAAGGGGCTGCACAAATCTGCCCACCGTTTATTCTCTGGACGTGTGTGGATACTTCGCTCCACGTTAGTGCAAGGAACCTCGGCAAGCTTCCCTTTCTTTATCTCAGGCCCGCAGAGTCCAGGTTCCAGTCCGTGACTGAGCCAACAGCACCACTCCCCGCTTACCAGGGGACTCCAGATTTTTGCTAAGTGCAGCTGTCCAGTCTAATATTCGATTTCTTTCTTCCCAGTCTAATGTTCTCAAATCCATTCTCACATATATTCCCTGAGTTTGGGATTTAAAAAACTGACAAATATTGGGGGTTTTGGTAGGGGAAGGTGCGTAGCCTTCCTCCTTCCTGAGGATTGTGCTGATCTCCCTCATCTTGCGTGGTGACGGGTGCACAGGAGGCAAGGGCCGATGGGTGAGGAGGAAGCAGAAAGGTCGAGCTTTCTCAGCTGGGAGGGACGGACTGCTTTGTGGGCTCCCGGGCCTTGGGAATCCCAGCACAGCAAACATTCCCAAAGTGCTCCCACAATTCCAAGGTCCTGGCACTTTCCCTTAAGAGGCCCAGAAGGGCTACGAATTCACTCGGTGTTAAAGTCAGACTCTGCTCAGTTTGGTTTTTTTAATAATGAAATGGCAAGTGAATTCTCTTTTCTTTTCTCTTTTTTAAGATCTATTCATAGGGCCCGTGTGAGCAGGGGGAGGGGCAGAGGGAGAGGGAGAGAAGCAGGCTCCCCACCGAGCGCAGGGCCCCAAGTGGGGCTCGATCCCTGGACCCCGAGATCATGACCTGCGCTGAAATCAAGAGTCGGACGCTTAATCGACAGAGCCAGCCGGTGACCCTCTGCTCTGTTTTGAGTCACATTAGCCTCAGCTGCAAAGACAAGCTGTGTGATTCTGTTAGCAGGTCTTGAGCCTGTCATTTCTTTCTTCAAACTCTCCACATAATTAGCAGCAGTCCACCCAGCTCACACCCTTCACAGTGGTTCCCCCCAGGGCGCCTGGGGGGCGCAGTCGGCTAAGCGTCCGCCTTCGGCTCAGCTCATGGTCCCAGCGTCCTGGGATCGAGCCCCGCATCAGGCTCCCTGCTCGGCGGGGATCCTGCTTCTCCCTCTCCTCCCAGCTTGTGCGCTCGCTCGCTGTCTCTGTCACTATCTGTCTGTCTGTCTCTCAAATGAATAAATAAAATCTTAAAAAAAAAAAAAGAAAGAAACCTCTCTGTGGGCCTGCTTGTCAGCCCCGTGAATAATGGAGGCACAGGACGGAGCACCCACCCAGTGCCGGAGTCCCAGGCCCAGCTGTTCCTCGAGCTGCCTTTCCAGTGTTGTCAGGGGGGCAGGAAGGTGGGGCCGGTGCCCGGATGCAGGCAGGACAGCTGTGCAGACTGGAGGGCAGAGCCCATTCCAGCCGGGGATCCCAGAGAAGAATGTGAAGCAGCCATGGGGAGCCACACTGATGCAGAGAGAGAGAGAGGCCTTGCAGTGGAGGCCTTAGCCCTGCAGAGGCCCAGGGGGCAGGTGTGAGTGCTGGGTGCTCCCGGGGCCTCTCCGCGGCAGAAAGCACCCAGCCGTCCCAGAGCCCAGGTCCTGGCACTTTCCCTTAAGAGGCCCATCTGCTGTCCGTCGCAATCCTTTGTAAACCTCTGTGTCTTTGCCAGCGATTGGACGCAGAGTCTGGTCGTTATCTTGTCTGTCACAGATCACAGATATCTCCAGGATAGCCCCGCCATGCGTGAGGATTCAGGATTCAGCAAATGTGTTGGGGCACATAATAGGGGCTCAGCAGACCCCAGAGCCTCATCCCCTGTGGCTGCTTCTCGGGGCCTCCCCACGCCCCCTGCCCCCCACATGTCCCCTGTGCTCCTCTCTGGGGGACTGAGGGGCTTCTGTCAGACAAGCGGCCACCAGCCCTGCCCCCCAGCTGCCCGGGGCCCAATCTCCTTCCCATTTACAAACAGCTCAGAAACAGTGCTCGCTTGGACAAGGCCAGGCACCTGAGGACAGCAGTCTCTGGGGTTAGGCAGACGTGAGTTCAAATTCTGGCTCGGTCCCCACTCACGGGCTCTGTCACCTCAGGTGAGCGGACTCAGCCTGAGGCCCAGTTGTCTCCCTGAGAAAAGGAGGGAAGATAGGACCTCCAGCAGGATTGTTGTCCACAAGAAACGAGCTGCACCCACCCAGTGCCTGTCATCAGCCCTCTGTGCTGGTGGTGATGGTTGTGATAACACAATGTTGAAAGCAAGCAGCGGGTCTGGATGGTCTCGTTTAGTCCTCAGAGCGGCTCTAGGCCCTTTGTACTGATGGAGAAACTGAGGCTCCAGCACCTTCTCCAGGATGGAGGTTGGATTCTCACCCAGGCAGTATGGCCCCAGGATCTCCGATCACTCCTGCACTGTAACTTTTCTTTCCACACCCAGGTGAAACCTCCCATGAGAGAAACTGTTTATGGGCCCTCCTGGCATCTGCCCATCTTCCCTGGTCCCTGCTGTGTCCCACCTGGCCCAGCCCTTGCTCACTGCAGAAGCCCTTGGAAAGAACACTCCCACCGCCTCCTGGCAGATCCTCTGCACAGTCGCAGAACCCACGGGAGGGCGGATCCATCTGGCTTCCTGCTGGACTTGTGTCTATAGCCCACGCGGGCTTGGTGCCCTTCCCAAGGTGACAGACTCACGACCCCGAGGCGCCGCCTGGAAGAGACAGAGCATTTCCTGGTTGCTGGCCTGCATTTGGCCCATCCTTGAAATCATTTGATGTTCTCCACAGTCCTGGGAGACATAGAAGGCAGGGCTGCCGTCCCGACTCACATGTGGGGAACCCAAAACCCAGGGAGCTCAGAGCCTTTGCCAAAATCACACAACCGGTAAGAACCCAGGACCCTTCCTGCCTCCGGCTGGTCGGCGAGCATCCGTGCAGCCCTGCCCAGCGAGCTCCCCTGGAGCCGCGGTTCCTGCCCAAGCCTTGTGTTGGACTCACTGGGGGAGCAGATTCTCATCCCACTAAATCCGGGTCTCTGGGGTGGGACCAGGCACTGTGTTGCTTTTCAATCGCCGGGTGATCATGCTTGTGGAGGACGTCTCTGGAAGGACTGGGGATCAATCAGGGCTGGAGATCATTTTGAAATCCCGGGTTCATCTGGGGACACGGGGCTCTGTCTAACCAGCTCAGAAACTGCCGAGCAAGACAAGACACATAAGTGCGTAGGGCTTTGATGAAGACAAAAGAACTGTAATATTTACACAAGAAACAACAACCAAAAGGAAAAAAAAAAAAGAACAAAGAACAAAGCATCCTGGATTAAGCCTGCTGAGCGTGCATTTGCCCCAGCGGCAGCCCTGGGAGGTTTCCGTCTCTGGAGCACCTCTCCTTGCCCTGCTCTGTCGCCGAGTTTCAGCAGGAATGTTCTGGATGCAGGTTTCCTGTCCGCCCTGCTCTGGTCTGTGCGCTCAGACTGATGCTGGGGCCTCCTTCACACACAGTGAATGAATGTCAAGCCCCGGGAGGGTCACTGGGCCCTTGCTGCCTGCCCAGGCCCTCGCCTAGCGGGCGGGGTTCGAGCAGTTTGTCACCACTGGACTCTCTTCCTGGGGTCCGCAGAGTGACAGCTCCCACGCCGTGCCTGCAGGCGCCCAGGCCACTGCCACAGTCACGGAGAAAACCCGTGGCCTCGTTGGTGGTTTGCACAGCGTCCGGAGCTGCGTCCCTCCGCTGGGGTCACTCCCTGCATCCCCCCTTGCCACCCCGACCTCCTCTGCTCCGGGAAGGAGAAGTCCCCGACTTGGCCCAGTCACTGGAGGGGGGTTGAAGTGCTGGGTGTAGACGCCTGGTCCTGAGGATAGCCCCAAAACATGCATATCCCCTCCGCAGAGCCCCTCAGGGCCCAGACCTCCTGGCTTGGTCCCCGGGGCCATTTCCCTCCTGGGAAAAACCTCTGTCCCTAAAGGTTTGCTTTGCAGCCATTCACAGGGTACGTTGTAACGTTCCTCTCAGAATCATGGGCATGGCCCCCTCCTGCCTCATGAACCCTTTCCCACCTTCTATGTGAAGACTCGGTTTCTGCTGCTCAAAAACAGAAACCATGCCCCCTAGACCGCAGGGTGCGATGACATGGTGCTGTGAAAGCATCCTCCAAAGGTAGGCATGGTGGGGGCGGGGGCGGGGCGGGTGGGGAGGTCGGTGGGGAGTCCACCAGCTTCCTTTCTCAATTGTTCCCAGTGAGGCAGACATGGGCCAGTGTCTGGGGCCACACGAGGCTCCTCTCTCACCTCGGACTCCGGTTTTGGCCCCAGACAGACCTCAGTTCAACTCTGAGCCCTGGGCTCTGACCGGTTGGGAGGCCCTGGGGGCACTGGGAGGCCCCAGGAGACACATTTCATGCGCTGAGCGGCTGAAGCCCAAAGGAAAGCTGGCCTGGGGATGAGGAAGGAAAGCCAGGATGGGAGGCCCAGGAAAGAGAAGGGCCTGGCAGGAAGGCCACAGAGTCGGCCACCGGTCACGGTCCCCCGGCAGCCCCGCCGAGCTTCGCAGCTCTGGCTGCAAACAGCAGTCCCGCATTTTGTCCCCTCCCTCCAGAGTATGTTCTGACCTCCACGCCTCCTTCCCAGCTGCCCGGGACCCCAGTGGCCCTGCTCGCTCGTCCGGCCTCGGGGGCCTGTGGCAGGAGCTCCAAATGGGCCCCAGGCCCCTCAGCCTTCCACTCGGGCAACCGGGCAGCACTCAGGCCTGCCACTGTCTGATGTCGGGGCAGGCCTGCTCTTGCAAGGAGAAGGTCGGAAGGCCCTTGCTCTCGCCAAGACTGGGGCGATGGGGCTGACCAGCAGCCCTCAGGAGAAGAAGGCCACGTTTAGTTCACAATCAGCTCCAGGAACAGGCTGGGCTGCAGAACCAGCCCCGGGGCCAACAGTGATCCTCAGCCTTTCCTCCTGCAGCAGCGCGAGCTGAGCACCAGGTTTAGAAGGCAGAGGCCCCAGCTCACACCTGGAGACGCTGATCCAGGAGGTCTGGGGGCTGGGGGCGGGGGGCTGGAATCTGCATTCCTGGCCAGCCCTGCGGGGGTTCAGAGGACAGCGTCTCCTCTCTGACCATAGGCTGCAGTGCCGGGCAAGGGAGTGAGACGTGACTAGCTTTGATGCCCGCTCTGACCAGGCCCAGCGAGCCGGACCCCTGCCCTTTGAGGGGGACACCGATAGGCCAGAGGGTACCCAGGAGGGAGTGACCACAATGGGGCTGTCTTCCTGGGTGTGCGGTCTGTGCCGTCACAAAGGGCCCTGAGTTCCTTCAACCCTCTGCAGCTGTTCTTTTGCAATGTGTCCTGATTTCTGAACAAGGGCCCCACATTTTTACTCTGCATTAATGGTAGATGCTAGAAAATACATATATTGGTCTCTGCCCCTGGTTCTGGGCACAGAGTTTCTAAAACCTTCGTAATGTCTTAAGTGATAAGAGCACTAGGAGCATCCTTTGTTCAAATAGTTGGTCTTTGACGGCAGTCTGACACAGAGCTCCTAAATCCCTTGGGATTTCCTGGGTGATAGCAATGTCTTTGTTCTAAGGTGAGTCTGGGCAGGCTGCTGGATGGGACCGGTCACCAGAAGACCAAGTCGTGATTAAAAGGTTGGAATTTCCAGCCTCACCTTCCGTTCTCCAGGGAGGGAAGAGGGGCTGGGATGGAGTTAATGATCAATTGTGCTTAGGTGATGAAATCCCACAAGGCGTGGTTCGCAGAGCTTCCAGGCTGGGAGAACATGGAGGTGCTGGGGTGGGGGGTGGCGCCGTGCACGGAGGGAATCCCCGTCCCACGCACTTCACACTACCCATCTCTTCCAGCTGGATGTTGTATCCTCACAAACAGTAAATAAGCTGTTTGTGTGAGTTCTGAGAGCCATTTTAGCAAATTAATCGAAGGGAGAGTTTGCGGGAACCTGCAATTTGCAGCCAGGAAGTCAGAAACACAGGTGCCCCCTGAGACAAATAATACATTATATGTTAATAAAAAGAGAAAAAAAAGCAATAATAAAGAAAACAAAAAAGAAACACAGGTGCCAATCTGGAATTGCCATTGGCGGCTGAAGTCTGGTGGGCCTGAGCCACTAACCCGTGGGCCCCGATGCGCTCTCCAGGCAGATGGTGCCAGAATCGAGTTCAGTGCTGGGACCTCCAGCTGGTGTCAAGGAATCGCGCAATCCAGGGGAAAACCCCCGCCTCTGGTGTCAGAATTGTCGAGCGTGGCAGCGGCGTGTAAGCGGGCGAGACACAGGAGGAACAAGGGGGCTTTCCTGAATTATTAAATGTTTCTGCAAATTCCGCAGCTGGGCCCAGCCAGGGTGGCGCGGGCCTTGGCGAGCCTGCAACCTGCTGCGGGGCTGGGTGTGTTACCCCGGAGAACGTGGGAGGCTCACGGAGAAGGAAGTGCTGATCAAACATCTGGAGGACCGGCAGAGAAAAGAAGGCTCTGGCTTCTCTAGGGCAACCCTGAGCGGGGCGCCGAGGCTGGTGGCTGGGCGGGGAGGAGGCTGATGGAACATCAGAGCCGCTGCGGGCTGCCAGGAGCTTCCCTGCCCCTCCGCCGGGGGGATGCGCTCAGGGCTGGTGACACCTGGCAGAGAGACACAGGGGCCACCTGGAGCCTTGGTCGAAGGACCTGAGTGGTGTCTGGTGGGTGCACTGCGAGACCACCCTGGGGCCCCCACGGGGAGTGGTGACATCCAGGTCTTCCCCGGCACGCAGCGGCCCCTTGTCCGGGTTCAGACACCCAGAAAGCCTGCTCACCTGACTCTTGGTCTTCCCAAGTGTCATCTTGCCCGTGGGACCCTCCCCAGGTGGGAAAGTGGCCCCCAAAGCAGGGGTTGGCTGGGCTGGGCGGAGCCACAGCTCCTCCCAGCGCGCCCTCCGGGGCTGTCAGCCGGTGGCCCACGTCCCATATTTGGCAGGGCTGCGCCCCGGGACTCAGAGAGAGAGGCGCCTCCTGTCCGACCACTCCTGGGCTATGACAGGCAGAGCCGGCTCTCCCCACCGTCCCCAGTCCTGCCCCGGCGGTGCCTTGTTAACAAATCCACGTTTGCTGGCTACCCCGGGCCGCCGCTCTTCGCTCTTCGCTTAGCTCTGTTTCCCCTGGCAGTCCAGGAAAGAAAAGAAAGAAAAGGGCCTTCCCTATCTCAGCCTTTGCGGACGCACCAATCGTGGAGCTTGCTTGTTTGGAAATGCCTGGAACCTAATACTCCTCTGGCTCTTAGCTTTGATCTTGTGTCTGGAAAACCTTTATTTCTGAGACTGGTGATAGTGAGTAGCTCAGGTGGGGTATTTGAGAAGAGAGGCCTCACCTCTTCATTTCTGGGTTGAGTCAGTGCTGCTTTGCCCGGGACTGTCTTAGCATGAAAGTCCCCCAGTTGCGCCAGGCCTGTGGCCCACGGACGGGGGCTCAGGGACGTCAGAGTGGGTGGGTGGGTCACCCCGAGAGCAGGGCTCCGAGGCCCTGCCTCCTCTCTGGCCCGGCCCTCCTGGGCAAAGCCGGCTCCGAGGCTCCAGCGCCCCAGCCAGGGCTGTTAGTCTGTAAGTAGAAAGTCAGAAAGAAAATCAGTCTGATACTAGGCCAGGAGTAGACAAGTAAAGTAATAAACAGAAGAGACAGCTCATAAATGGCTCCCTATATACTTGGGCGATTTGCTCTTCGGGAAGGATGGCCCCACAGAAACGGGAGGGGGCTCATTCAGAAAGTGGGGTTGAGAAAACTGGTCCTGGTTTGTGCAAAATTAAGCTGGACTCCTCTCTACCTTTAGCACATCTTAAATAGTAGACTCCAGACGAACTAATAACTGCAATCACAAACCCAATACAGACATACCTCGCTTTATTGTGCTTCGCAGATACTGTATTCCTTACACATTGGAGGTTTGTGTTAATCCTGCATCGACAAAACTCCTGGTGCCATTTTCCCAACAACAGTGGCTCGCTTTATGTCTTCGATTTTCTGTTGTTTTTGTTGTTTTGTTTTATTTTTTTAAAGATTTTTATTTATTCATCAGAGAGATAGAGAGAGAGAGACAGCACAAGCAGGGGGAGCGGCAGGCAGAGGGAGAAGCAGGCTTCCCGCCGAGCAGGGAGCCCGATGCGGGACTCGATCCCGGGACCCTGGGATCAAGACCTGAGCCGAAGGCAGACAGTCAACTGACTGAGTCACCCAGGCGCCCCTCACTTTGTGTCTTTGTATCACATTTTGGTAACGAAATATTTGGTAAATAATTCATACTTTTTCATCATTATTAAATTTGCTATGGTGATCCATGATCTGTTATGTGGTCAGTGATTATGACTCACTGAAAGCTCGTACGATGGCTAGCATATTTTGGCAATAAAGTACTTTCTAATTAAGGGACGTACGTTTGTAAGCACAGTGCTATTGCATACTTAAGAGACTACAGGGTAGTATAAACAGAACTTTTACATGCACTGGGAAACCAAAAATTTCATTCGACGCGTTTTATTGCAATATTCGCTTTATTGCAATAGTCTGGAACTGAACCCACAGTATTTCTGAGATGTGCCTATAGAAGGAAAATATAACAGAGAATCTGTGTAACCTAGAGACTGGAAAACGCTTCCTGAACAAGACCCCAAATGCACACACTATGGGGGGAAAAAAAGATAAAACTCTGCTTCACAAGCCCCACCCCCTGTCCAGACCACAGCCGTCCTTCCCCCAGGGCTCAGACCTACCTTCCTTCCAGCATGTCCCATCTCCAGGCCCCGGACTCCACACATTCCCTCGGTGTTCTGTGCATGAGTGGTTGTGTCCCGCTTCCTGGGACAAGCCTCTCAGGCCTCGGGATCCTGAGTGATGGAGTGTCTTGTTTCTCAGGGTGATGAGGGAGTCCTGCTAGTTCACGGTAGCAGATGACTCAGGATGGGGGCTGGCCACACCAGAATGACCAGCCGTGTGAATAAGGGGTCGGGACTGAAGCCACACGCTATCAACCTGACCTGGGGGGCAGGATGAGGAATTGGAGGTTGCGGTCAATCCCACAGCCAATGGTTCAATCAGTTGTGCCTATGTAATTAAATCCCAGTAAAAATGCTGGATGCCAAAGCTCGAGTGAGCATCCCTGGTGGGCAATAGTCTTCAAGTATTATCACACTCGATGCAGAAAGAATACCATGACCCCCACGATGATGGGAGCTCTGCATTCCTGAGTTCTCCCTGTGTATCTCTTCCCCTGGCCAGTTCTAATTTGGATTTTTGGCTATAATACAGCTGCAACCATCAAGAATAACACTTTCCTGAGTTCTGTGAGTCCTTCTAGGGAATTATCAAGCCTGAGAGAGTCCATGGGCACCTCCAAATTCGTAGCCTGCAGCTCCAAGGTGAAGGTGGTCCCAGGGACCCCTGAGCTTGTGGTTGGTGTCTAAAGTGAGGTCTATCTTGTGGAGGATGGCCCTTAACCTTGAGTTTGGCTAGCCCCAGGGAGCTTGCCTTCTGGAGGCACCCCACCCCCCCAGCTGGCTCCCTTCTCTCTGGATCATCCTCCAATCTGCTGTCAGAGAGATCTTCCTAAAATTCAAATATTCCCTGACACCTCCCTTGAGCCCGTCATTGGCTCCCGTTACCCTGGGAGGAGAGTTGAAACTCTGTGGCACCTCACGCACAGACCTATAACCTGGCCTCTTGCTGACCTCTCTTCCGCCCAACTTGACCTCAGGAAATTTCTTTCTGGGCCTCACCCCACTCCTTCTATTTTCCTGAATCTTATTATCCTAACATCGGTCATCTCTCCCTTGACCTTCAAAACTCAGCCCATGTATCACCACCTTCTGGAAGTCTATCTTTGACCCTTTTCCTATGATTCAAGGCCGATGTAAGGGGCCCCTGTGTCACTCCCGGGCACCTGTTATCACCTATGGTATTGATACCTGAGAGTTGGATTGTCTGCTTGCCCTTCTGGGTCGATGACTGCACTGTGTGCTTCTCAGAGCAACCGTATCTTCCAACTCCTCACAGCATCTGAACGCCAAGCAGCTCCCCATATGTGTTTGTGGGATGAATGGGTGAGTGAATCACTCAGCCTCAAGAATCCTCACTGACTCAGTTATCCTAAAAGAGTAAGATTTACAAATATTTATTTCTCAGATTGACACTGTTAGAAGGTCACTCCTGCATGCGGAATACAGGGATCCCTCGCCCACATTTTGCCTGACGTTCTGTCTCTTTTTAGCATCCTGTGACGTTTGCAGATCACTTGTACCCAGAACAGTCATGATGGACCTATGGATTATATGTCATCTGATTTTAACTAAAGTAACTGTCTTCAAATGGAAAAGTAGCTTCAAAATGGTTCAGAAAAAAAAATCCTAAAATTGAAAATAATCCTAATATATAAGCCCAGGTGAACAATGGTTATGGTATTTGTCTCCAGTCCCAGGCACAGAGCTCTTAAAGCCCTGGGAATCTCCTGAGTATTTTGTATATATGCTAATGAGATGACCCAAAGGGTGCTAGAAAGTTTCTGAAAGGTCAACAGAAAGACCCTGCCATAATTAGGGGGTTTGAACTTTCAGTCCCTCCAGGGAGGGGAGAGGAGCTGGAGATTGAGTTCCATCCCCAGTAGCCAACAATTTAATCAATCATACCTGAACAATGAAGGCTCCACCAAGACCCCTGAGATGATGGGGTTGGATGAACACATCCACGTTCTGGGAGGGTGGCACACCCCAGTTCCATGGGAATGAGGCTCCCCTGCTCATTTGTACCCACTGGGATAATAAACCGTGACAGTCAGGAAGGCAGTGTCCTGGGTTCTGGGAGTCATTCTTGTGAGTTATTGGCAGGGTGGGAGCCCCTGAGTTTGGAGGCAGCTGGGCAGGAGTGTGGGTGCCCTGGAGACCCCACCGTGGCTAAAGTCTGAAGCGGAGGTCGTCTTACAGGGCTGAGCCTTTCACTTGGGCTGTCTGGCGCTTCAGGTGGACAGCGCCAGAAGGGAATTGAATAGCTGGTCACCAGCAGGTGTCAAGGAAATGGGAAATTGGTTATTGGTGTGCAAAAGCAACGTGCATTTCGTGTCCGCAGTGACGTCAGCACGCACTACACAATAGGGCACGGAGCTGACAAACACCCAGTAAAAACAATGCAGATCGAATCGGCTATGGCAGCAAAGCAGCCAGTTTTGAAAACCGACCGAGGCTTTTTGGAACATAGACTGATACCTATTGCAGCTGCTGACCAGAAACCTTCCTCTGGGCCTCTTGGGCACTGACTTGTGGGATGACCTATCAGTTAGCAACACATTGGAAAACCCGGCATCCGGAGCCCAAGGGGCGCCTCCATACTCTCCGGGATGTGGCTACTCCATCTGGGTCTGCACAATCTCTGGCACATTTGATGAAACACGTTTAGAGCTTCTTTTGAGTTTGATTTTGATAGAAAAAGTCTAAGAGGCAGCGGGCAAACATAAAGGAGTAAGCGGGTTAAATAAGGGAATAGCGAGTGACAGCAAACCCAAGTGCATTTCTTCACCAACAAATGCTGCAGACGCCTAGAGAACAGTAGGGAAAATCTGAGCAATCATTAAACCACTTATTCAGCGGGAAGTGTGCTGTACAATTGGATAAAACTACAGGGGCTGTGACTGTATCTGGAAAAGATTATGTGTCACTAAATGAAGTGCACAGAGAACTACCTTTTTTTTTTTTTTTTTTAATGAGCCACTAAAGGAAGGTATTTTCTCAACTGTAAATGACCTCTTTCAAACAATGTGTTATTGAGAAGCTCTGCAAGCTACTAGAGCTGCATTTTTACTTGGAATTTTTTTAAGAAAAGAATTCCAGATCAGGTTACAAAGATAGGGAAGCAGGGAATTCATTCCTTTCATTGTTGAGGAAGGCAAAGAAATCGATGCCAAAGAAGTACATGCGGATATCAGTGGGTATTTTATAAAAACAAAACCTTGGGGCACCTGGGCGGCTCAGTCTGTTAAGTGTCTGCTTTCGGCTCAGATCATGATCCCGGGGTCCTGGGATCAAGTCCCATGTCGTGGTCGGGCTCCCTGTTCGGTGGGGAGTCTGCTTCTCCCTCTACCCCTCCCCGCTGCTCATGCTCTCTCTCTCTCACGCCCTCTCTCAAGTGGATAAATAAAGTCTTAGGGAAAAAAATATCTTTAAACATAGTAGAATCTTTTCCATTTTTAAAAAAAATTTTTTATTAACATATAATGTATTATTTGAATCTTTTCCATTTTTTGCGAAGACAGAGTGAAAAGAAAATCTTTTGTTCCACAAAGATCTAAATGTGATCTGTGACTGAACGGTTCAAAGGCCCATCGAGCTGAAGACAAACAAAAATCAAGTGTCCCATCCTAGTGACCCTTTCTCTGATTCACATGACTGTGGCCTGGCAGGGGCCTCGGACGCAGCCCACAGGTGCGCACGCACAGTCTGTCCCTTCAGAGCGGAAGTGACCTCCTGATAATGCCAAGAAATGGCTTTATCTTGTACAGTTGAGCATTTTGGAAAATATGTTTGAAAATGTTACCGTTGTGTGATTTTTTTCGGTGGAGGGGCCACTGGCAATGCTCTCGTATCTGCACACTTTAAAAACCCCGAGCATACAACTCTCCAGCCGGTTTACAAACCGTCCCGATGAAGAGATTTGGTGAACTCTGAACACATTTATTAAAAATATAGAACCTTCTAGTTAGTTTGCACAAACAACCGAGGACAACAGGGAAGATGGAAAGCTATTAGCCAGATTTTAACAGCAACAAAAATCTTTGCGTAATCGGTGGATTTAAAAGAGGATTTAGCCCGAGTAAACAATGAGGCCCTGTATTCATTTATCGATTTGTTTTTTGTTATTATTCCTTTATTTCACTGCTCACTGAAGCAATCATGTCTTCAGGGTTCATCCATGCTGGGCATGGATCAGAAGGGCACCTTCCAAGTTGAGGTCCCTTCAGACCCCAGCATGACCTTTGCTGTTCCAGCCAGGCTGGAGTATCGTCTCCCAGTTACGCCCAACACGTGCCTGTCTCTGACCCTTTCTTTGCGCATGCCATTTCTCCCTTCTGGAAAGTTCTTCCTTTGTTCTTACCTACTCCTGCTCTGCTCAGGCCTTGGAGCTTAGCCCAAACCCGACTTTCTTCGGGAAGCACTCCCAGATGACACCTTTAACCCAGGAGGGGGCTATCCGTCTCCTGGGGCCCCACGGCTCACCTGATCTGGCCCAGCACACTGGGCATTGTCCTCTATGTGCACCTTGCTTCTCAGCCACGTGGCAGGCTCTCGAAGGAACACTTGACGTTATGTTTCCCACCTCTGACGACCTCCACACCAGGCCATGCACACAGTGGGTGCCTGATAAGCAAATGAAAATGTGTGAATGATGGTATGATTTGTGCTAAGTATCCCCTGCACATTCGAATCGCTTCAGTGGGCACTGACTGTGCCTGCCAACCCAGTCTGTGTAGTCACAGCTCAGCTCTGAAGCCCGAGAGGCACCAGTTCCAACTGGGCCACTCATTGGCTGTGGGAACCTTGGTCAGACTCAGTTTCTTCATCTATGAAATGGGCAGACACTATGGGCCCACGAGGGTCACTGTGAGCCGCAGGTTGACGCCACGATACACAGTCTCTAGCTCCTACAGGTGCAAAGTACTTCCTGGGGGAGGTACCCAGACACCGTCCCATGGCCAGCGGCATGCTTCCCTTACCCACCCTAACTCTGGGGTCTTCCCATGAAGCCAACCCCCAAAGCTGTGCGCTTTTAGCCTTTTCTTACTGGAGCCCAGCTTGGTGGTTGCAGGAATAAACTGAGTGTGGAAATAAAGATATTCTCTTGAGTCCTTTCATTGGCAGACATGCATGTAACTCTTCCCCGGGCTTCCTGACCCTTGTGACTACCTGACATCCCCCTCTCCCCCAGAGCCATGTCTGGAATTCCTGAAGCTTTTCTCACCCGTGACCCCGTGTCTGGCTGACCGCACAGTTGGAAACAAGTCCCATTCCCGGAGAAGGCTGTGAATAGGCATTCCTGGGTTTTTATCTTTCCTTGCTAATGGCTTCTTTTTTTTAAGAATCGATTTTAGGGCGCCTGGGTGGCTCAGTTGGTTAGGTGACTGCCTTCAGCTCGGGTCATGGTCCCGGAGTCCTGGGATCGAGTCCCGCGTCGGGCTCCCGGCTCAGCAGGGGGCCTGCTTCTCCCTCTGACTCCTCTCCCCTCTCATGCTGTTTTTCTCTCTCTCTCTCAAATAAATAAATAAATAAAATCTTAAAAAAAAAAAAAGAATCGATTTTAAATGTTTCCTTTTGAATGACAGGAGTAGGCAAATAGGCTTTGAAAACAGAAAAACAAGGCAGATGTGTATAAAGGAAGATATAAAAGTGTCCCCCACCACCCCTGGCCAGGAAGAAATTGTTGCTGTCAGAAAAAAAGGGCCACGGCTTGTCCACTTCTAGAGCCCACCCAGGGGAGCGGGCCCTCCCACTCCTGACATTCTGTCCCCTTCCATTCCTACCAGCGCACACCTCCTCAGTGAGGGTGGTTTGGGCCTGCTGTGGCTCCCCAGCTCCAGGGGTCCCCTGTGCTTGCAGTTCCAGGACACACCGGAAGGCCTGCCCCACTGCCAGGGGCTGCCCTGAGCTGGACTGCTGACTCCAGCCCTTCCTTCCTGGAGGCCTCTCCTCCCCCGGCCTTGGGCCTGCACATGGGCTCCGTCATCGGCTTTATTCAGCAGCCTCTGGAGGGAACTTCCCATCTGGAAAGATTGGATCTAAGAAGTGAGGTCAGCCAGACCTGTCATCGGCCTCACTTGGGTCCAAAGTGAGCTTGGCATCCCTCACAAAGGGCCTGTCTTCAACCTAAGAGAGGTAATTTTTAGAACGGAAGAGGGAAGTGTCATCGGACACAGCAAGAAGTTGCTGCATAGATCTGTGACTCTCTGGCTAACGGGGCATTTAAAAGGTCGGATAAAATCAAATCCAATCAAACCAGTTACTGTGTGCCAGATGCTGAAAAGAATACAGAGAAACATAAAACAGTCCCTCCCTTCAAGGAAATTTGAAGTTTCGGACATTGCCATCAATTGAATATATTAGTCATTCCATCTGGCAAAGTGAGGCAGAAAGATCCAAAGCTGCATCCTCCAGTGTTCCAGAAGGTCAGACTGTACAGGAGCTCCACAAAATCACCAGGATCTCTGGGCTCCTCTCGGCTTTCAGGGACTCATCCCTCGGGTGAATCCTTCGTCCTCACAGCCCAAAATGGCTGCTGAAATCTGGCCACTGTGCTGGGGAGGCAGGAGATTAGAAGGGATGCTCCTTCCTTAAGAAGCACTGACTCCCAGAAATGGTACTTATCACTTCTGTCATATCCCCTGGTCCAGAACTTACTGACATGGTCACACCTAGCCCCAGGGAGGCTGGGAAGTGTAGTCTTTATTCCTAGGGGTCCTTTGCTAACATTTGGGATTTCTGTTGGAAGAAGGGGAGAAGAGGTACTGGGGATATCGTATTCTACAACCCCAAAACTTAAAGGAAACAGTGGTGTCTTAGAGGGCAGTGGGATCAGGGAGAAGCTGGGCTCACAGGTCCTTCCAGGCCAGGTCTAATGCAGCCTACAGGGCCTGGGTGCTCTGGTCTGTTATAACGATTCTTAGAATCACCAGTCGAAAGGCCCCGGACGACCACTTGTTCCCGTACCTTCGGCCCCAGTAGTGATGAACGTAGCTTCCTGTGATGCGGTTGCCCCTCTTCTGTTTGAACCCATCCTTCGACGGGCAGTCATCACTTGCTAAGGCAGTTTGCACTTCTTTGATTCACCTGGTTCTTCTCTAGCTTGGACTTAAGCCTGCTGGAAACTTCTGTGCAGTAATAATTAATGCAGCAACCCAATGGGGTGCAGGTTCCATGCGGTGTGGGGGGCTCGGGGGACCACTCTGACGGGGCTCCTGACGTGTGCACGGTGGTGCTGGACCTGGAGGGCACGGGAGTGTGCCCCGTGGGTGAGAGCCCACCACCGTTGGCAGAACCCTTTCTCCAGCCCCAGAGGGAGCTGAGTGAAAGCCCCACATGGCAGCTCTGTCGTGAGGGCAGTGGGGGACGCCCCCCAGCGTGGTTCCCCAGGCCCCCACATCACTATAGGCAGTGGGGAGCCCCCAGACCCCCCTGAAATGACGCTGCACTTGTTCTGTGAGGAACAACAGCTCTACAGGCCATCGGGACAAAAAGGCTCAGGTGGTAGGATGCCATTCCCCAGGCATTCGGGAGCTGGAGGCCGTGCCCACGCCTGTGGCAGGCAGGCCACGTTCCCCTGGGCCTGGCCACACCTCCCGGGTCAGGCGGCCTGCGTGCACCCTCTGGCTTTTTCCATATTTCCCCCTGAGTGTTCCTTCAAACAATGAAGAGGAAATACTCCCAAACCCAGCTGTCCAGGATACACGTGTCTGCAGCCTGTTTCCAGAGCGGGAGGCGCTGCTCTGGGGGTGCTGGCCACGGGAAGGAAGCCCATCCCGCATGACCAGGAAGCAATAATGTGGCATCACTGATTTCACGGCCGCTTTATTCTTCAGGCCATGAAAGAGAGGCATTGCTCGCATCCTTCCTCAAACATGGATTTGTGGCAGTCCCGGGGGCTTCCACCGTGCTCCCTCCGCCCGCAAAGGTGGCCAGCGCGCCGGGTCACGCGAGGCTCGGCGGCATTGGCTTCCCTTTGAAGGCACGCACGGCCTTGCTCACAGCCCAGCGTGGTGGTGTTCCGGCTCCCTCTTGCCCGGGCCCCCTTTATTCTGACCTGAATCGTAAAGCAGGCCTCACTCAGCCAGGCATGATCTTTCCTTCCACTACCCCTGAATGCCACGGGACAGATCACAAGAGCCGCGGGAACCTGCGTGCGTCATCGTCGAGCCCCCCCCGGGCCCAGGGCGGGAAGAGCGAGAAGAGCAAGAACGGTGGCTTCGGCTGGGGCTGCCAGCCCTGTTGGTTTGCTGAGGCTGCCAGACCCAGCACCACACGCTGAGAGGCTTCAGCAACAGACATGATCGTCAAGTCCTGGAGGCCAGAAGTCCAAGGTCGCGGTGTCGGTGGTGTCGGCGCCTTCGGAGGCTGCGAGGGCGGATCTGTTCTCAGCCTCTCCCCTGCTGCTGGTGGTTTGCTGGCAGTCCTCGGTGGTCCTCGGCTTGTAGAAGCATCACAGGGACGTCTGCCTTCATCTTCACACAGCGCTCTCCCCGTGTACGCGTCTGGGGCCAAATCCCCCCTCTTTATGAGCACATTGGGGCCCACCCTAATAACCTCATTTTAACTTGATCATCTGAATGACCATACTTCCAAATAAGGTCACACTCACAGGTATGGGAGGTTAGGACTTCCACATGTGGATTTTAGGCGACACACTCACCCCATAACAGAAGATGACCTGCAGGTCCGCAGTCACATGTGCACTTCAGTGGGTCCCATGCAGGAGTTGGGATGTACTTAAACTAAAAAATTATTTGTTGTTGATCTGAAATTCAGATTTCACTAAGCAATCTGTACTTTTCTCCCTCTCTCTCTCCCTCTCTCTCTTTCTTTCAACTGGCAACCTTACGTTAAGCAAACCCCACCTATGAAAATTCAGATATTCTCAACAGAAAAGTGGGCTGATTCTTTATGAAAAGATTAATCACAGGATGCCTTTAAATAGCAAATCCTCTGGAGACATGAGGCGGTTGGAGTAAGGACCAGTCTCTGCACAGACCGGACAGAACCACCATGTCTGTTCCACATCTAAGGCTGGGACAGGGAGGTCAGCGTAGGGGGAAGAACAGAGGTGGAACCCTGCTAGATTTGCACTCCCGGGTGTGTGCGCATGTCAGGGACAAGCCGGGGGGTGGGGGGTAAGGGTGGGGGTTGAGCAAAAGACCCACGTCCAAGACCTGGTCCCAGGACCATCTCATGCCAGCCGGTCACCTGCCCTCTGAGCCTCGGACTGCTCATGAGCCTCCCATGTCTCTTGCTGCACCCCCCAACCCTGTGGTGGCTCCCTGTCCCCCCACCCCCACAGGCCGGCCACATGGCACACGGTGACAACTTTACTTCTGAGCCTGGGACAGCTGGGACGTCTGTGTTCTCCAGTTAGAGGAGGAAGAACAAACCTGCCCAACTGTGCAGCAAAGGATGGAGAGACCGAAGGGACACAGAGGCAGGTAAGTGAGGTGAGGGAGGTTGGGGGGGCAGGTGCTGAAGGAGTCCCCAAGTCTAGCCCGGGTGTGGGTCCCCTCAGAGAAGTGCACACCTCCTGCCTTCAGGTGAGAGGCTGAGAGTCCCAGCCCCTCTGATGCGAGGCTGGAGGCCGGAGCCTCGGTTCAGTGGAACACGCCCGAGGAACCCCGGCCTGCACCTGAGGGCCCACCTGGGGCTTCCCCACACGTCCATCTGCTCCCAGGCATCAAGAGGCAGCTGGTGTGGCCACAGCCCGCTGGTGCTCAGAGATTTCTCTCCTGAGATGATTGGAGGGAAAGTGGAGAGCACCAGTATTCTGGAAATCCAGACTTTTCTCCTGTAGTCAACAGCCCACCAGGGATGATGGCAGGAAAGTTTTTCAAACCGATGGTATCAGATGCGGTTAGGATGCACCCCACAGTTCTTCTGTGCCGAGGAGCTGAGCTCCACCGCAGCTGTGAAAGGAAATTATGCTGTCGATCCGAGGGGCATTAGGCAACGTGACTCACCAGCAATTAGACGAGGGGCAGTTAGCAGGAGCCGGCCGAAGTTTGGGGGCAGCAGGGTCCTGGTGGCTCAGGGCTGGCCCCGGCGCTGTCCTGCTAACATGGCAGGGCTGAGCATGGCGACCAAGCAGGCATTCACTCCTGGAAGCCGCAGAGGCCCCATCACACCTTCGAGCTGTGTTAGGCACTGCGTTCAATTCCAAGAGCAGGGCCTATCATGTGTGGCTTGCATCTTCCCTCTGACGTGCCACTCACTATCTGTCGCTTCTCAGCTCCTGTGGAGTCTAAGGGGTTCACTCCCAGAAGAGCTCAAATCCAAGCAGTGACAAGGAAGGCAAGAATCCTTGGAGCCTGGCTGTGGGTGGCAAACACCCATTAGATGAGGAAGGGGCCATTTGCACAATTTGAGGAATCTGACAAATAAACTGGGTGTGACTCAGACGGGTAAGTCTACCCTGTCCTTCCAATGCATCACACCTTGTGTAATAATGCCAGCATGGGTTTTGCTTTCCTTTTTCATAACTATTATTTAATATCCATGCTCATTGCTTCCCTGGATGATGAAACTGCACCCAGAGATCCATCAAGCAGACAAAATCCCTGCCCCCAGAGCTGATGGGCACTGATGAGCACGCAGGGAGGAGCAGGGGGTGCGGGGAGGGGCTGATCAGGCTGAGCCTGCAGGGAGGGAGCAGAGGGTGTTGGTGAGCGGGGAGCCTGACACGTGAGCACGCTGGACAGAGCAAGGCAGGGACAGACTCTCCTCGGGCAAGGGGTGCCGGAGCTGCCCTCAATTCACTTCAAAGGAACTGAAAGCAGGGACTCAAACAGATGCTCGCACACCCGTGTTCAAAGCAGCATTGTCCAGTGGCCAGAGTAGTGCCCATCAAGTGATGAATGGATAAGCAAAATGTGTGTGCGCAGGCAACCGTCAAGGTGAATTTGGGTACATGCTACCACCATACAGGTAAACCTTGAAAACATTGTGCTAAGTGAAGCTAGACACAAAAAGACAAAGACTGTAGGATTCCCCTTATATGAGGTAGCTAGAATTGTCAACGTCAGAGGGATGGAAAGTAGAATCGAGTTTTCCAGGGGCTGATGGGGGGTGGGGGGTGTGTGAGTGCTTCATGGGCACAGAGTTTCTGTCTGGGGGGGATGAAGAGTATGGTGGTGAGGACAGCATGGCCATGTGATTATAGTGAATCCCACTGCCCTGTGTGCTCAGAAATAGCAGAGGAAATCTTGCCCACGAAACAGGCTGCTTTTACTTGTATTAAGAATGGTATTCCCAGGGCGCCTGGGTGGCTCAGTCGTTAAGCGTCTGCCTTCGGCTCAGGTCATGGTCCCAGGGTCCTGGGATCGAGCCCCACACTGGGCTCCCTGCTCCGCGGGAAGCCTGCTCCTCCCTCTCCCACTCCCCATGCTGTGTTCCCTCTCTCGCTGTGTCTCTCTCGGTCAAATAAACAAATAAAATCTTAAAAAAAAAAAAAAAAAAAAAGAATGGTATTCCCAGTTCAGCAAATGCTCTGGTGAGCAGAGTGAGGCTTGCCCAGCGCCGGCCAGAGCCCGGGCCCGGGGAAGGGCAATGTTATGACAGAGCGGGAGGCTGGCCTGGGGCCCCACAGGGCCGCTCACTCCTTCAGGAGCCGGCCTCGTGTTCAGACGGTGCCAGAGTGGAGGACAGGGAGGGAAATTCAAGTTGACTCATCTGCAGGATATGCGGATCCGGACAGGACCTCCAAACCTGGCAAGCTCAAAGGAAATGATTTTAATTTTTTTTTTTTTTTAAGACTCTCATGTAACCTAGACACTCAGCTGGGAGTCTGTTTCCTATTTCAAGCCTTTTCCAAACAGTTGTGTTTGCAGAGACCTTCATAAACACACGTCCAGGGGAAGGAACCAGAAGGAATGGGGCTTCTCCAGGCCTGCCGTTCAATTCCCTGGGCTTGCAACACTGCTCAGGTGTTTGACAGGAAGGCAGTTGTGGGGACACCCGTGGGGCAGGAAGCCGTGGGGCGCAGAAACTTTCTGGATCTGACCTCCAGTCATTGAAAAACAGTAACATGGGATGTGGATCAAGGAGGCTTACGAGCATCTGGGCCTCGGCCTCAAGACTCCAGGCACACTGAATGGAAGACAGTCGGGGACACTGCTCTTTCCCTGGCTTTATGCCTGGATGCAGCCCGTCCTGCAAGATCTAGAAACAGATGCATGGCTCATTCGCGGACTCACGCGCTAGGTGGGCATCTGTGGAGCCCTCCCGCGAGGCTGGCAGTGGAGGCCCGGCCTCTGCCCTCTGAATATCCGTGAATCGTCCCCCTCCTCGTGGGGTATTTGCAGGACTAAGGAATCTGCTCACCTGACCAGGGCCCTGCCAGGAGGGGTGAGGACGGGGGTCCAGATGAGCCCCTCACAGCTCTCCCCTGAAATATCAGCCTCGGCTCCTCTGTCCGCACGTGCTGGGAGGTCAGCTGCCGGGGAGGCCACCCTGCAGTGTCCGGGAGTGTGAACTCGGCTGCTTCCAGCCTGAGGAGGGAGGCTGCTCAGACAGAGCCTTGGCCTACCTCTGCCTCGACGAGCCACTTGCCGTTTTGCCTTATCTTGTTTTTGACTAAATTCTTAAAATGTAGACTTGATTTTTTCAAACAGTTTCAGATTTACAGAAAAATTGAGACTACAGTGCAGGGCGTCCCCCTCTACCCAGCACCCAGTGTTCACTGTCATTACCATCCTTAGGTTAGTTTGGAACATGTGATACAATTCTTAAACCAATGTGGATACGTGGCTAGCAAGTCTCTACTTGGCTCAGATTACCTTGGTTTTACCCACCATCCTTTTCGGGTCCCAGGTTCCCACCTAGGATACCCATACTGCTCAGTCTTCTGGTCTTCCTGGCGTGGACTGTGGTCCTACCTCGTTAGACTGGGACCCCTCACAGTGCCCAGGGCAGCGCTTTGCCCCCGAGGGCTCGAGTGTCGGCAGGGGATGAAGGGATGAAGGGAAGGAGGCCGCAGCATGAACTCGCCCTCTCTCCCAGCAAATGTCAAAACACCAGTAAACTCTGTGTGGTCCAGTGATTCAACACCGTTGTCTCTTAGAGAGACAGGGCTGGGGACGGGGGAGATGGGAGAGGGCTGGATTTCGCTTTCCTAGTTACATTTCTGTGATGTTTAATCAAGTCTTTTAAAATAATCAGCTTGTCTTTCTCTTCCAATTAGAAACAATAAAATAAGACCCAGCTGTGGGGTGAGGCTTGCATCCTCAGCATCTCCCCCGCACAGGAAGAGGCTGGTGCCCACCTAAGATGACCAGGGTACGAGATGGGCCCAGAGCACGGTTTCCTGGCTCCTTCCTGTCCTCACCCACACAAGGAATCAGAAAAGGCAAGAGTTTCCAAGCCTTTGGTATAAATGCAATCCAACACACACGCAAACCACCCCAGGTTCCTCCTAAAGCATTTCGTGCCTCCCCCGCTGCCCCCTAGCCCCTGCCTCTGAAAACAACTGAGGTCAGATTAACAGCCCTTCCCTGGAGGGGAGGTGATCAGGGAAGAAGGCGGGTTAAATTGGCCAAGTCATCCTTGGGCTCAAGAAGCCGCCCGGAGCCTCCGCTCCAGGATGGAGGCCCAGCCCCTTGGGGCGCCCAGGGCTCACAGGAAGCCCACTGCCGCCGCCTCCGTGGGCTGGGCCCTGTGCCTGGAGTTTAGGACCACCCCACTCTGTCATTGCCCGGCCCTGCCAGGCCTTTCCAGGCTGAACTGGAGGGAGGGGCCTGGTCTTACCTCTTATACATCCCACCCCCCTCCCTACCCCATCCACTGTCTGGAGGGCAAAGGGCCCACATGGACGCTCAGGGAAAGGCCTCTTTGTAGAGTCTGAAGAACAATCTGATTGAAGAGTATTTTCAAGTATGATTGACATAACTTTCTGGGGCCCCAAGTCCTCTTTAGATATCATGTCCTAATGAAGGGAGCTGGGAATGTGGTCAGGTGAACAAAGTCAAGGTCTCCAGGGCCTGAGTGCCCCCGAGAGCTGAAGGCGGCAGTGTTGGGCCTTCCTCTGAACCATTTGCCCTCCCTCCACCCCCAGTCACCCCTGGTCCTCCGTCTGGCTCTTGCCTTTAGATATCATGCCAGTGACCCCCTCCCAGCACCAGCACGTCTTCTGGGGGCCATGCAACATGCCGATCCTACAGAAACGCACGTCACACAACATGCATGGCCCCCACAGTGAGATTCTGCAGCCTAGAAATGCTGGAAACATTTCATAAAAACTCCTGAGTTATAAGTCAGGTTCATGTATTGTGTGTTGTGATTTTTAAAAAAAAATTTTTTAAATTTTATTTTATTTGAGAGAGAGAGAGAGAAAGCACGAGGTGGGGGCAGAGGGAGAAGCAAACTCCCCGCTGAGCAGGGAGCCAGACGCGGGGCTCGATCCCAGGACCCTGGAATCATGACCTGAGCCGAAGGCAGACGCTTAACCGACTGAGCCACCCAGGTGCCCTGTGTTGTGATTTAAACCACAGATCTGCTTTTGAAAAAAGGCAAATATTTGAAACCCAAGAGACTGGGATTCTGAAATCGAAGGGAGAAAGGATGGGGTGGAAGGAAGCAGTGAAATGCTCGAAATTCATTCAAAGCTTGGGGTTTATTCTCATCCAGAAAACTGCAGGGAAAGGAGAAGAGATTTTTCCACCTGGGGTCTTGGTAGCATCCTGAGCGAAGGGAAGGAAGGCGCCGGCAGACCACCAGGCAGCCCGAGCCAGACAGGAAGTCTCCTCTGTTCTTGATCCAAAGAGATGACTCTGGAAAGATGGAATGTATCTGGCAGGTTGTATCAGGAAGAGGGAGGGACATTCTACTGGAGATTTTGGCTTCAATTGATGAACCGGTGGTGGTACAAATGGGGTCAGGCAGTGGGGAGGGGACCCCAGGACTCCTAGAGCCCTATTCCCAGGGTTTTGGTGCCTGTGGCCCAAGCGTGGAGCCCACTTCCCTGACATAGGGCTTGGGACTTCATTTGGAGCAGGATCCCCCTGGGGGGGCCATCTTGTCACATAGTCAGGTGACTGTCCCGCGGGCAGAATGGCGCTCTGCAGGGCCACACCTGTGGCAAAGCTGGTCCATGTTGGGCAGAGAGGGGGTGACGTTGAACACTCACCAGGAACCTACCATCTTCTAGGCACTGTTGGGTTCTTTGCACACTTTACCTCATTAAATGCCCCCACAGCCTTGTGAGGTAGAAATAATCACGCCCATTTTACAGACAGAGAAATCCAGGAAATTTTAGTAACATTTCCAAGTTTGCAGCTATGGTAAAAGGCAGATCTGGTCATTGCCCCTGAGCGTGTGCAGGTGGGAGGCCTGGTGGTGGGCATGGTCCCTGTGAAGGACGTTGCTATGGTTACCAGCAATGGGGGAAGGAACTCTATCACTTGTTTGCTAAAATTCACAAAGGGGCAGACCAGTCAGGCCTTTTTGGAAGGGCACGCTCAGCTCCAGGACAATGAGAGCTGTCCCCGGCTTTGGCCGATGCCACCTCGGTCACCAGGTCCCGGCCAGGAGCCAGAAGTGGGCAGAGGCTCACGGTGTATCCCCCCTCCAACGCCCCCCCCCCTTCGTCTGCATCAGCTGAGAACCAACAGATAGGGCCGACCTCCTGGGACCTACCTGCTGGGGCTGCAAGTGGCTCCCTTGAAGGTTAAGGGTAAAGCGGATGGATGGCCTGGGGAACGGAATAGCTGAGGTCTACGAAGTAGTAGTAAAAACTGAAGAACAGAGAGCCAGGAGGTAGGGACAGAACCCCTGGGTGGTGCAGCCCCTGGAAACTCCCCAGGCCAAGGGCGAGCTGGCCAGTTTTCACCCCCATACCTGAGTCTTTTCACCTAACGTAGATCCTGCCTCCGACTCTCCATGAAGAAAGGAGAAGATGCTGTGTGTTCTTCATGTGGGGCTGCACTTGACTACATGAAAGGCAGTGACCCTGCTTGCTAGGTGAAACCCCGAGGGGAAATAATTATTTCCCAGCAGACATTTCTTAAATGATGCTTCGAAGATCCACCCTCCATCCCCCCTCTGCTGAGAGGGATAGCCTCTCCTAGGTGCAGAGAAGCCCACAGGCCTGGCACAATCTACCGTTCATGAGAGCAGCCTGTCAGCCGGGCCCTGTTGACCAGGAGCCCAACCTGAGGACGAGGCCTCCCTCCCTCTCCACCTCCGGATGCCCACTCCCCTCCTCCAGTCCGCTGGCCCGTCTCTCCCTCTCCTCACTCCTCGTCTTCTGCCTCTCACTGCTGCCCCGGCAGCTTCTCATCTGCAAGAAGCCTCTGCTGGGAAAACTGGCTGGGTGCCCATGGCTCTCAGCCGAGTCTGCCCCCTGGCCCCTCCATCCCATTTGTAGCCTCATCTTTCGACCTGAAACTAATAGTTTATTAACGTCTGCTCCCAAACCTTTGCCGGGGCCCCAAGATACTGCCCAGGGTCTATGAAGCACGAGGCTGAATCCAGCAACTTCCCCACACCCATCTGTCCATTGATCCATTGATCCATTGAACAAGGTTGGACCAAGAGCTCGCTGTGTGCTGAATTCCATGCCTGGCACGCAGTGAGGCCATGGTGAATGCCACTGTGCTGGTTAATGTGCTGTGTCAACGTGACTGGGCCCCTGGATGCCCAGACATTTGGTCAAACATCCTGGGTATGTCTGTGAGGGAGTCTCTGGATGAGATTAACATGTTAGTTGGAAGCCTGAGTAAAGCAGATGGCCCACCCCGACGCGGGTGGGCCTCGTCCAATCAGGTGAAGACCTGGATAGAGGAGAAAGGCAGAGCAAGAGGGACTCCTGCCTGATGGCACCGCGAGGACACGGGTCTTCTCTGGCTCTTCTTGACTCTCCAGCCTGCTGGCTTTCTGGCAGCAACTACAGCGTCTTCGGTTTCTCAGGCCTTCGGATGTGGACGAACCACACTGGCCCTCCGGGGGCCCCGGCCTGCTGACAGCAGATCGAGGGACTTGTCAGCCTCCGTCACCATCTTAGCTAGTCCCTCACAGCAAATCTCTGCACACGCCTCTTCTCCCCTGTGGGTTCTGTTGTCTGGAGAACCCTAATAGGATCAGCGTTATGGGAGCCACGACTGTGTCTCCATCCCATGCGGCGCGAACCTCTCGATCAGGAGCTAGACGGTTCTTTATTACAAGAGAAACCAGCAAAGTAAATTTACTTATTATTCTGAGATTTATGGCCACACCTTTTTTATGTGTTTTTCAAACAAACCCGTCGTCACGGTAACTCTCTTAAAACAAGATGCGACCTGGTTTAAAGAGCCTGAGAGCTAATTACAATAGTGCTTTGTATTTAGTTACACCTTTCTTCTGAGGGGTTTAATGGACCTCACTCATTAAGCTTCACAAACATCCTCTGAAGTCTTTAGGGGACAGATACTATTAAACCCATTTTACAGACACAGACACCAAGGCACAGACGGGTTCAGTGACTTGGCCACCGACTGGCAGCTGAGCCCCAGGCAAGTCTGGGCCCGACCCAGGCCCCCCTGGTTTCCTTCTGCTGTCTCCACTCACCAGACTCCATTCTCAGGTTGGAGAGCCCTTCTTCACGAAAGGCTCCGTTTCCCACAGCGTGCTCTGCGGCCATCCCTGTGCAGAGGAGGCCCTGGCGGGGAGGCCGCAGGGCTGAGGGAGGGACGGAGCAGGGCAGAGGGGAGGCGGGAGCTCAGGGGGTGCTGCTTCCCTGGCGCCGCGTGGTAGAGCCAGGCCTCGGTGGCAGCGCACCGGCCTGGTGTTCGCAGGGGTGGTGCGGCCACACGGGGTCGAGCGGACACCAAGCTGCTCCCGCCTCGGTCACGAGGGTCTGCCCCTCCGTGCGGCCGCCCGGGGGGCCGCTGCTGTGGCTCAGTGCCTCTCAGAGCAGGGCCCAAATCAGCGCATCTGCCATGTTCCAAATCTGCAGAATCAGAAACCGTTTCACAAGGCCTCCGGCCTCCGGGGGCTTCTCCGGGATCTCTGCCTGGAATGTTCCTCCCCGAGATGTCCTTCACTTCTTCATGGGCCTGTTCTGACACGGCCTCGTTAACGCAGCGGGAAGCAGGCCCCCTCCCGGCCCTGGTCGTCGCCTCACCCTCAGGATGCTTGGCGGGCACTGCCCGTCTCCCCACAGCCAGCCGCGTGTTCCAGACCAGGGCCCTCTGCTCGGTCACTGGCATGGAGTAGTCAGTCAATAGCCACATGAACCTTGATTTGTGACCCAAGAGGAGGGATGAGGAGGAGGAACATGTATTTGGGTGGGTGGGGCGTGGGGCCCATGAGTCTGGTTTGGGGCACGTTGAGCCTGAGGTCCCAGTGGCCCACACAGACAAGAGGGGCAGCTGTTTGGTGGGTGGCTCGGCAACACCCAGGACAGGTGATCCAATGATCCAGAGGAGCTGAGATCGAGGAGGGGGAATGAAGGGTTCAAAGAAGAAATCCTGGAGGGGCGCCTGGGTGGCTCAGTCGGTTAAGCGACTGCCTTCGGCTCAGGTCATGATCCTGGAGTCCCTGGATCGAGTCCCGCATTGGGCTCCCTGCTCGGCGGGGAGCCTGCTTCTCCCTCTGACCCTCCCCCCTCTCATGTGCTCTCTCTCTCTCATTCTCTCTGTCTCAAATAAATAAATAAAATCTTTGAAAAAAAAAAAAAGAAGAAATCCTGGAGCACGTCAGCACCTGGGTGGGTGGTGAGGCTGAGGAGCCGGCAGAGACCAAGGAGGCCAAGGGCCTGACAGCGTCCAACGTGACAAAGGAGTCAAGCAGCGTCAGAGAAGCCTGGTCTTAGATCTGGCAAAATCGGGAGATGAGCTTCCAACCTGAGAACTACGGTCCTCGGGCCTCGAGTGGAGGCTGGAAGGTGGGCTCCAGCAGGAAGGAGGGACTGTGGGGGGATGCAGACAAGGCCTGGGGCCGTGAGGAGGAGGGGGGAGGCACTCAGAACCAGCAGGGGTGGGAGAAGAACGAGAAGGGGTGGGTGGGGAGGAAGGTTTCAACTCCCCAGTTTTGAACTCACACTTGGAGCATCTGAAACGGGAGAGAGATGACTTGCCACTGGGTGTAAACAGAAACGAAGGGGATAGTGAGTTCACAGGGATAGGATGGTGGAACTCCAAGCAGGCAGGGGCTGTGGCTGAACCTGAATGAGTCTTGAGTCTGGGGCTCAAGATTCTGTCCTGGTCTGAAAGAAACCTAAGGCTACTAGAAAAATACAGGCAGCCTACCCCCCACCCAACAGGAAGGCATGTGGCCCTACGACTTTCAAGTTCCACCTCTGGCACCCACCACCATCATGGGTCCCCATGCCGCGTCAGGAGAGCGGGACAGAGGTATAGCTTCCAACAAATTTCTCCGCCCAGTATGTGCTCACACATGGGGAAGGGTACATGTTTTGAGTAGGGGACAGCACCCTAATTCCCAAAATAGTTCATTCAAACATAACTGTTAGACTTTTGTATTGCACTAATTAATTTAGGAAAATTCACACGGGCATAAAAACTGCCTTTCAAGAATAAAAATTGGGCGCCTGGGTGGCTCAGTCATTAAGCGGCTGCCTTTGGCTCAGGTCATGATCCCAGAGACCTGGGATCGAGCCCCCACATCGGGCTCCCTGCTCGGCGGGAAGCCTGCTTCTCCCTCTCCCACTCCCCCTGCTTGTGTTCCCTCTCTCGCTGTGTCTGTCAAATAAGTAAATAAAATCTTTAGGGAAAAAAAAAGAATAAAAACTGCTAGGACTGGAATTTTCCATGCGTGTTCAAGAAGATGCACAGTATCCTAAATCAAGTTATCATCTGTGCCTGAATAGAAGAAAATTCCAAATATAAGACAATTCCGTATGTTCCCAAGGAGGAGAAAAAAAATTATGCCAACTTGGATATGGGAACCTTTTTAGGGATGTTAATAAAAATAATCAAGTATCTACTTATCTATATTTACATATATATACTGTTTTCTAATGCTTTGTTCTTCTCTTTCAAAGTATGAAAAGAATTCAGTCACTCCAAGACTCAACCCATTCATTTACTGTGGACTTTCTAGGACTAAAATACATCACTTTTGGTATTCTCAAATGCAAAAGAGAGACAAGTTTCCTACTGAATATCTAACATGGAAACAGGTCTCTGTTACAAAGTGTTAAATGGTTCTGTGAGCCCCGCCATCTACATTTCCTCAAAAGCAATGAGATGGTCAACTCCACAATTTTGTTTCAGTCTCATGGCTACATAGGTAAAGTGAAGTTTGAAAATCATTTCCAAACCCAAATCAATCAAGTAAAACCCCTAATTTTTTAATGCATTGAAAATTTGCCTAAGAACTATAAACTCTCACATTTTCTTATAAAAGCACAAAAACTTTTCTTCTATAAAATCTGCTTTGCATTTATGGGCGCCTGGGTGGCTCAGTTCGTTGAGCCTCCGGACTCCTGATTTCAGCTCAGGTCATGATGTCAGGGTGCTGAGATTGAGCCCTGTGTCTGGCTCCACGCTCAGCAGGGAGTCTGCTGGAGATTCTCTCTCCCTGTCCCTCCTCCTCTGCTAGTCCCTTCCCTCCCCCATCTGTGAGGCTCTCTCTCTCTCAAATAAACCTTTAAAAAAATCTCTTTTGCAGCATTTAAATGATGCTGATGATAAAGCTTTGAAAAAGAGTTAAATATTCATCTTGTGTGTTTAGTAAAAAAAAAAAAAAAAATTCATGGAAGCTCCAGCAAAAGGTCTCACTACACAATGTATCACAATTACACGTTGTAGCAACAAGTACACCTCTGGGAGACCAAATTTCACTGGGCTCTGCACCACGCTCCTGTAGTGCAAGAATACAATCCCACCTCCTAGGGTAGGCAGGGATTTTCAACTTGGGGCTGGATCCATCATTAGTGGGTTGTGAAGTCAATTTAATGGGTGTAAACCTATTACATGGGTGGAGGTGGGGAGGATGAAGGAACTGCAATAGGATAGAAGAGAAAAATCCCAGCGTGCTTTATGGGTTACAGTTTATAACACTTTGGATATACGTGTGTTCTGAGTCACTATGTCAAATATATTTCCTACCATGGGGCAAAGAAACATTTGAAAACTACTGAGGTAGAATTTTGGAAACCCAGAGAGGCAATAAAACCAGGGGAAAGGAAAAAGCAGTGCCCACGCTTCTCAATTCGAGGTCCTGTGTCTTATTACTTTGAGGAAGCAATCAGGTGTTCTCCAAAAATGATGGTGGGGTGGAGAGGTAGGAAGGATAAAAAGGATCAGGACAGACAGTTCACTGGAGGTTAAGAGATTCAAGCGAAACAAAGGCTCTGAATCAAAGAGTGAGCCTGGTGTGTAAGCACAGAAATTCAGGACAAGGGCAGTGGGTGGGGCAGGGGAGATCACTTTGGTTCATAACCTTGCTTCTTATTTCAGGGAGGAAACCGAAGCAATTAGAAGGGAATGTCCACCTGTTTTCTGCTCCTTATCTGCCTACCCATCACCTACCTCCCTGAACATCCCCGAGTACTCTGCCTTTTCTCTCCTTACAATCTCACCCTGTGTCTGTGGAAGGTCACTACCTCGATCCGCATACTGCACCCGTTCCCTCCTTTGCTACTGTGCTGATTCTAAACTACGTCTACAAATTCTTTCTAGGGTTGCCTGATCTAGCCAATAAAAATACAGGTCATCCATTAAATTTGAATTTTGGATAAATAACAATTTTTTAATGTAAGTATGGCCCATACGACATATAGAACACACTCTGATAAGTCACATGTTTATCTGAAATTCAAATCTCACCAGGTGTCCTGTATTTATTTCACCTGGCCCCCCTATTTGATGCTCCTTCCACTCGGAAGATGGCATCTAATTCCTCTCCCACTGAGCACAGGCTATACTTGGTGACTCCATCCTAACAAATGGAAAAAAAGGGCAGGTGATGATGTATGACCTCTGCTACAAGGTGATAAGAAGCACTGTGGCTTCCATCTTGGTCTCTCTCGTCCTTGGATACCTCTGGGGGACATTAGCTGCCATGTCACGGGGATATTCCAGCAGCCCCATGGAGAGGTCCACGTGGCAACGAACTGAGACTTCCAGCCTGCAGCCGTGTGTCTGAGTGAGGAAGGGGGTCCTCCAGCCCAGGTCTCACACCTCCAGCCCAGGTAGCCTTGGCTGATGTCTTGATTGTACCCTCATGAGAGACCCTGCATGTGAACCACCCAGCTAGCCTGCTCCTGAATTCCTGACCCACTGAAGCTGTTAGGTAACTCTGTTATTTCAAGCTGCTAAGTTTTGGGATAACTTGTTATGCAGCAATAGATAACTACTACACTTACTTATGGTATCACTCCAGTAATTGTCCTCTCTAACGCCAACACTTTTTCCTTTTCCTGGGTGATTCCCAGCAACATGCAGACATGCTGGGATTTCTATTTTAAAGAAAACCCTCTCTTGATCTCACAGGTCCTATTTTCTGCTCCCTTATATTCAGAAACTACCAAGTGTTGTCTACCATCCCTCCTTCTGATTCATTCTTCCCTATTCTGTCCTGAGCTACTCCAGTGAGGCCTTCCAGCCCAGAAACAGCTCTTGTCAAGGGAGAATTGCCCCTCTGGTACTGAATCCAAAGTTCCATCTAACTCAACTATTCATTTCATACAAATTTATTAGACAGCGACTATGTGTCAGGCATGGTGCTGGATGTACAACAGTGAACAAAACAAAACAAAAAAGAAATCCCTATTCTTACCGAGTTTACATTCTGGTGTGGGGTGGGGGACAAACAATAAATAAACAAAAAAGGCAGTATGAGTATTTATGGATAAAATAATATGATATCTGGAATCAAAATATTTCGAAGTAATGGAGCCAATGGGTAGGAGTAACGATGAAAAAGGTAAGATTTGTTGTTAATTACTGAAGCGTGTGATGGGTACACAGGAGATGGTGAAGCTGTTTTCTTCCTTGGCGTATGTTTGAAATGTTCCATAATAAAAAGTCTTTTATTGGGGCGCCTAGGTGGCTCAGTTGGTTAAGCAACTGCCTTCGGCTCAGGTCATGATCCTGGAGTCCCGGGATTGAGTCCCGCATCAGGCTCCCTGCTCGGCGGGGAGTCTGCTTCTCCCCCTGACCCTCCTCCCTCTCATGCTCTCTGTCTCTCATTCTCTCTCTCGCAAATAAATAAAATCTTTAAAAAAAAAAAAAAGTCTTTTATGAGCACTCTGTATCGGGTACCCGCTGCAGTAAAGGCCCGGGGAGTGCTGGGGGCAGGGGCATGACTGTTTTACACAAGGTGGCTGTACCTTCAAGTGTGACAGACATGCCAACAGCCGACCGATGAAGTACACTGCAAGCAGAGGAAATGCATCTGCAAAGGCCCTGGCTTAAGAGAACGACTGGAGTGTTCTAGAAGCTTCAAGGTCAGTGCAGTGATGACAATTTTATTTATTTGTCAGAGAGCGAGCAAGCAAGCACGAGCAGGGGGAGCAGCAGGCAGAGGGAGAAGCAGGCCCCCGCTGAACAAGGAGCCTGACGCGGGACTTGATCCCAGGACCCCGGGATCATGACCTGGGCTGAAGGCAGATGCTTTACCCCACTAAGCCCCCCCAGGCATCCCAGGAACTTTTTAATAATTAGAGTTGCAGGCGAAATAACACACTCCATAAATGGTACTGAAAAGAATGTCATTAAGATTAGTCCGATTACGTTACAAGATATTTGCTTCTGCTCTTCTGACAAAGGGTGGATAAAGCTAAAACTGTATCCTAACTAGAAACTTGAAATTCTCTCAAATCCCACACACAGAAAAAGAAGAAAAAACGGAAATGACATTTAGATTGCTTTGCTACGTACAGGTGTTTCATAAAGTTACTATGTCCATTTAAAAAATAAGTTGGGTTATGGGCGCCTGGGTGGCTCAGTCGGTCAAGCATCCGACTCTTGATTTCAGCTCGGGTCATGGTCTCAGGGTCCTGGGATCGAGTCCCGCATTGGGCTCTGCACTCAGTAGGGAGTCTGAGTATTTTCTCTCTTCCTTTCCCTCTGTCCCTCCCCTCACTCATGCGTACTCTCTCTAAAATAAATAAACATTTAAAAAAAAAAAAGAAGCAAAAAGGAAGTTGGGGTATACTTATTATAGATGTGACTTTTTAGAAGGTTCTTTCTGTGGATTTTTATGCATAACCATCAATAGGGGAAGAGTTTGCTTATGGATCAACCCTGCAATAAAACACTCTGAAGTTTATACAAAAGAACAAAGTACATCTCTCTCTGTATGTCCACACTTGAGAAAATTAGCTGAGGAAGAGCCCCATTGGATGACTAAAACATGTATATATAGCTGTTTATAAAACAGAAAAATATTTGAACAAATATACCTCATACTATTAGGAGTTATCTCAGGGGGTTAGATGGGAGTAAGTTGTTATAATGGGTACAAGTTACTTTGATAGACCAATTCTTTTCTAATAAGAATTCTTCATTGGAGTATAACATGCACACAGAAAGGTGTCCAAGTCGTGAGAGTGCCTCACCGCCCAGGTTAAGGGGCAGAACCAACCAGAGCCTAGATGTCCCGTCATGCCCCCCGCACACCCCAGACACTTTCCCTGCTCACTGCCTGGACTGCTGAAAACAACTTTCTTTTAAATAGTTGTTTAAAAATATATTGAGGCATCAGGCTAGGGATATTAGGGAATGAGGGGGATCTGGAGCAGGATTAGGGGAGAAGCCATCACTCAGGAGCCCCCGGGATCGTCCTGTTGTGAAAACCAAGCCCCCAGCCGTGGGCCGGGCGCAAACGCCTGCGTGTACTTTCCTGGTCTGGAGACCCACACCCGAGGCTGCTAAGTCATCCATTACAAACAAACAAGCTACAGAGTATGCAACCTGTACTTCAAAGAAAGGCGAGGACTGTAGCAGGTACTTGAAGAATCTCAACCCTGAAGAGGTGGGGCTGTTACAAGGCACTGATAAGGGAGCCCTGGGGCCTGGAGCGGGTTTCTGTGCAGCTCCGTTGACTATGTGTTCCCTGAATGTCGCCCATCACAGATGCAGCTCAGGTCCTCCACCTGCCCTTTCAGGAACCTCCCAGAACAGAAGCCCATGGGTACCCGTGCCCTAGAAAAACCTCGGTATTAAGAAATCCGCTGAGTTCGGAGGGGTGTGTGCTGAGGTGAGGGAAGGGCGGCAGGTGACAGACAAGCTTTACCAACACTCCTGAGCCTCACGCCATGCTCAATGCTCACCCCACCCAAGTACCTCGTTTCACTCTCACACAAATGAAGTCTTGGGCTCACTTTATTGGCGGAACGGACGCTCAAGGAGGTTAAACAAACAGTCAAGGCTCTAGAACTGGTGGGCAGCGGGGCTGGGATTAAACCCTGGGCCGGGAGAGTTTAGTTAGCACCGCAGCCTACTGGCTCCCCCTCCACAGGGAGGCCCCCCGAGAAGGCAGGGAAGGGAAAGAGAGGCCCGGGAAGGCCAGGTAGGAGTGGGAAAGGCCCTGACCCCAGGACACAATCCGCAGCGCAACCGCTCACCCCTAGGGAACAACTCCAGCCAGCAGTGTCCTTCCTTAACTTCTGAAATCCTCCTCTCTAGGGAAGCCATCAGCGTGGACACAGAGACAAGCAAGTGCAGAAAGGCTGAGGCCCCTTCCTCTGGGAAGAGGCAGCTCATCAAAGGAGTGCAGGGATAGGAAGCCGAAGAAGCAGAGCAGGTGGCACCAGGGATGGAAACAGGTGACGCCTCTGTCCCAGACCACAAGCTGGGTGGGCGCCCAGGTTAACAAGCCTCTTTCTGGTGACGGTGTCTGTCTATATACACAAAGCGCACCCACGCCGGACACACACGCACACACACGCACACACACACACACCCACAGACAAACACATCTTTTTTTCTGGAAACAGACTGCACCTCTCAGGCCTCAGAAGTGGACACATGTCTGTACAGAAGCAACAGAGATAGGACGGGGACAGGACAGGAAAGACGTCAAGGAAAGACAGCAGGGGAGAGCTGAAGGGCTAAGGAACAACGCTGCGACAGGAGGAAGAAAAGGGGAGAGAGACCTGGCTGAATCTGGGGCCCCGGATCCGGGTGTCCATGAGGCCGGTTACACAGCCTGCAGCCTAGTCCTGTCAGCACATTCTCCCTTTGTGCTTACCGCATTTCCAGTTAGAGGCCAAAGAGCCCTGGTTCCAGTTGTGATTAAAGAAACACACCTCCAAAATCACGTTAATACCTGAGAACTAGGGAAACAAAATTCAATTTTCAAATTAACTCAAAGCATGGATCTTTCTCAAAGAAGCTATTCAAATGAAAGTATTTATTTTTATAAATGTTTTCTCCAGCCAGTTTATCTCAAATTGCACTTTAAGAAACAGAAAAAAAAAAAAAAAGGAAAATCTATATTTAATCTTGTGAAAAGTTAAGAGAATAACCAGTAGCTTCCATTTTTGTTTTAGGATTATTACCATAAAATTATATTCTTTTTATAAAATGTTTTAAACCGCCCCCCCCCCTCACATAAACAAGCCACAAACTACTAATGTAGAAATGCAAACACGGCCAACACGAACACCTCAGGCGACACAGGAACGGGGTTCCTGGGGGTCAACAGTGAAGGACAGTAGGCACTGAAAGGAAACGGTGCCGAACATGGTCGATCTGCATTTTTAGCACAGGATAACCTCCCATCCCATGTTACACATTTCACAAGATGGAAAAGCAACACCTGGCTTTACTGGATTAAAACTGGGGGGGGAGGGCGGGGAACGGACAATGTTTATGGGGACAACAACTTACAGACAGTGCGGGGAAGGGGGGCGGTTTCCAAGTCTGCTGCAGAGGGCGTGACGACAGCTGCCAAACCTTTACCTCGCCTAGGTACCAAGAATTTACACAAACGGTTAATGTGTGTCCCTCTGTGTTCGACGTGCTAAGCGATGGTCAGTTTGGGCGCTCCTCCGGAGCCGCGTGCAGGACCGGTTTCCAGATTCAATGAAACGGCCGGCCGCGTCTGTGTCTGGACTTCAGGTGACCAGCTGAACGACGGAGGGTTTTCCTTTCTTGTCGGTGCAGCTTCTCAGCCTCCTGTTGCTTCTTCTGTTGTTCGGACTAAAGGAGAAAATTACATGAGAGAGAAAGAGAAAGAAAACCCCAACACCCCCCTTTGTAACCATCAGAATACCCCCATCACACCCGAGGGAGCAAAGCTGCTGTGGGCCCCGGGCCACGCAGTCTGGCCCCTGGACTCCACTCCCACAATGCTGTGCCGTTTATTAGCCAGAGACATTAATTTATTTATGTTGCCCCAAACACACACACAAATAGTTACATGTACCGAAGGTGTATTAAAACCCACCACGATTAAGTATCATTCTCCGGAACGGGTTCCAAAGAATTTTTGGCGGTTTCCAAAAAGTCCAACTCCCCTCAGAAGCCTGAGATTTGCTGCCGTTAACCCCGGACAAGGGCTCAGCAGACAAGTGGCCTGCAGGCCCCCGGGTGGAGCGAGCGCGCAGGTTCGCGGGCTGACGGCTCCGAGGGCATGCCTCCCACCTTGATGCTCGCGCTGGCAGAGTGGGGGGGGAGGGGAGGAAGGGGACATGGGGGGAGGGGGAGGGGAGAGGGGGGGAGGGGGGACCCTCCACCCCAAGGAAGCTCCGTGGCTGTCAGCAGCAGTTCTCAGAAAGGAGAGAGCCAATGCAGAACCCACCACGGAGGTCAGAGCTGCCTGGTTTTAAAATCACCTTTGATGGTTCTAAGGGTACGAACTCTTGAATGCAAAGCTCAAAAAAATATTCTCAGCTGCTGGAATTGCACAAAAGGTAAACTGAGAAAGCACTGATGGAGCAGAAGTTTTAAAAGCTGAAAAGCATTGCCTTATAGACACCCATGAGGCCTGCTTTACACTGGTCTATATTACCCTGTGCACCTACAATAGTCCTTTGTATCTTGCTCTTGAAGGAGAAGTCTCTGTATTCACCTCCAGCAGGTATTATTCAATATTTTGAAATCAAAGAGGTGAGAGGCGAGGGAGTAGTGGGGAAGGAAAGCGATCTGTAAGACACAAAGCCGATGAGTCCCCTTCCTCTAGGAAGCTCTGAAACTGGGACTCTGAATAATGCCTTAAGTTCTTTTTCTGATTATTACTACTCCTTCAAGAGCCCCAATAAATCCCATCCAGTCCCCTCCTGCCTAGTGCATCCCCAGTGCCTCCGCTCCGGGCCCCTTCGGCCCACTCCTTACGCAACAGCTCGTCAGGTTTTAGAAATAAAGAGGGTCGATCTGCTGCTAACTAAAACTGTTCAACAGCTTCGCGTGGTTCTACTCGGAATCAAGGGTAATTGCGTGCCGTGGCCTGCTCACAAGGCCCTCCAGGGCTGAGCTGCGCAGTTCCGGCTGCATCCGACGCCGCTCCTCCGTTTGAGCTCGTTTTACACACACAGGCTCTCGTCGGACCCTCGAGCACGCCTGGCCTCCCCCTTCCTCAAGCAAGAGCGCTGCCTTAGCGGCACCCTGCGCCTGGCACCCTGCCTGACCCCGCAGGGCTCTCGCTCAACTTAGAGACCCAAGCCGCACATCACTCCCCGTTCCCTAGCCCCTCTGTCCGGGTCGGGCCCCGGACGCTCTCACAGCCCCCCCGCCGTCCTCTGCTGGAGCACCTGCCACCACCATAATGACCTAACTGGGTGTGTCCCTCTTTCAACAGACTGAGAACCTGTGTGGTTCTGTGTCCCTGCAGCACACACCCCAGAGCAGATACCTGACAATCACTTGTTAACGGGATCCTCGGAAAACCTGCATACCAGCACACCAAACTATGGTGTCAAGACCCTCGTAAGATCAACAAACACCGGTGATTTGATATTTTGTTTCTTCATGTTAAAAAGTATCCCCCAAAGTGTTTCCTGTCCAAACAATTTTGGAAAAGGATGTACCAAATAAAGATGAACAGGGTGTGTTGGAGCTTGTCGCTTAGGCACTTTTCTGCATCTTCGGGGTGGACATTAGTCCCAGGCATTTCCCCACGGTCTGCTGGGAGAGCCATCTCCCGGAAGTACCTCCCCCTCTCCAGCAGCACGTTTTGCAGAGCCCTGCCAGGCCTTCCCCACAAAGGCAGGAGCCTCCAGAGGAGCCTGTAAGCAGCAGTGACTGTCCCGCAGACAAAGCCCCACCCAGAGAGGGACTCTGGCCAGCCTCTCTCTGAAAGGCCGCACCAGACGACGTCAGCACCACGTGCCCAATCCCATATGACTGAGGGTCCAGGCAGCTCATCTCCCAAGTTTCCTTTCCTTCTGCTTCTCCGTCCTGCTCCAGCTGCTGACCCACAGTCGCCAGCAGCCTGGCCCAGAGAAGGGGGGGATGCGGACATGTGTAAGCCCCACACCCGGCCATGGGTCTGATGAGAAACTGCAGTACAGGAAACCTGAAAACTGCATTTGGGACCTAATCCTAGTTTTGCCACTATACAACTGTAAATAATACTAAAGCATAAACTTTCCCCTTACATTTTAGTCACACATTAGAAAGTATCTATTAAGGTTGCCTGGCTAGCTCAGTCGATAGAGCATGTGACTCCTGACGGTGGGGTCGGGAGTTTGAACCCCACGTTGGGGGTAGAGTTTACTTAAAAAAAAAAAAAAAAAGAAGAAGCATATATGAAAATCCTGGGAAATACCTGAGATTTTACCTAAATAAATCACATACCTAGTATCAAAGGAGATTTTTATTAGACAATACACAAATCCCTAATTATTCCTAAAAGTGAGATTTAATAGTTAAAATGTTGTTGCTCTAATGATATGAACAGGCAAAATCAAACATAAATTGATCTAGTTTCACAGCCTCTGCCTGACTCAACCTTGGGGACACGTTAAGTACTTCTTTGTGCTTCTTCGGTTTTTCACAAAACATGAGTAACTTCAGAGGCATCTTATTTTCATTCTACCACGAGTTCTCTAAGCCCTGGACAGGCAGGACTTTCTCTTGGCAAGGCCGCTCCAGAGGCGGCCCAGTGACCCAGAAACCACACGGCCGGCTCCGCACCAGCAGCACCAGCTCCGGGGCACGAAGGTCCCGTCTCCGCTGCACAGCAAGAGCCCGGCTCTGGCTCCGGCCTCAGCCAAGCTGAGCGCTCGCTCCCGACCCCGCAGGGGCTCTGGCTGCAGGACAAGGGCTAGAACAGGCACACAGCTTCCTCAACAGGGGAAAAGCTTGGGGCGGCCGTGCTGAGGTCAGACGAGTGCACGGCTCGACTGGACTCACAAAATCACGTTAGAAAACTCACCCTCTTTAACGTGAATGTCAACTGTTTGCTGCCGACTGTGGTATCTGCTATGCTCACCGTGCCATTTTTTGCTTCAAGTTTCAAACGATCTTCAAGCGTTTTACTGGAGGAGATTTAAGAGAACGACACATTAATTAGCAGTATGTTTTGATTTAGCATTCGAAACAAGTTTTAATTAGAATGGCTCACATGAAGAAAATCTGTTACGCTCGCGGGGAAGCCAGAAAATGGCATTCACCGAACGCAATCGCGGAACGAATCGGGGCCGACAGTCACTGCTCACACTCGACAGACACACAGTAAAAAGAGCTGCCAAAACACCCGCTCGCTTAGTATCTTAAGTGGTGGTTCCACATATATTTTCTGTGGCTGCTCCTGATCTCACTAAACCACACTTCTGAAGCGACAGGCAAGGAGCACCGTCTCTGCAGCCTGTAATTTACCGTAATGGTCAGTGGCACAGATGTTTCTGGAGCCTTTTCTATTTAAGCCCCACACCAGGCAGGCAGCAGAGCCCTTCACGCTTCGGCAACCCAGCCACCTCTCCGAGGGAGCGGACCCCGAGCAGGTCTTCCGGGTGAAGCCAGGGAGAGGTGCCAAGCGAGTCCGGAGGCTCTCTCCACCCGCCCTCAGCTCCCGGGGCGACACTCACCACCCACAGCACGAACCCCCAAACATGAGTCCGCCTGACCACAGACAGCAAACGAAAGCACCACGGGTAAAATTCTATCCGATTCAGTTCTGTTCACGCACTGTTCCTTCTCTCGGTGCCTTTTCCTTCCACTTTCTTACTTGAATTACTCGTCCCATCATACTTTACCCCATTCGTAAATTTCATCGCATTTCTTGATCACGTTTTCCACACCTTTCTAGGGTCTCTGTGCCCCCGCCGTGGTCTGCTGTGCCATCTGAACCAGTAACACCACCCTACCTGGCTTTACAACCAAGACGTTCAGTCTGTATCTTGTACACGTGACCCTTCACTGCATGTCACAATAGTAATGTTTTAGTATAAAATCAGAACAGTGGCCCTTTCTGTGAACTGGGTTTGGAGGGAAAAAATGGAATTAAGCTTCAAGACAAAGACTCGCAGTGAGTTTCCATGTGAGCTCTAACGCTTGGAGAACCCACGGGTGCCCATGATGGAAACGGGAGGATGGGGCCGAGGAAGCAAGAGGGAAAGAATACGGTTCTCTCTTCTTTCCTGTCCCCTCTTCCACAAAAACGTTAACACGCTCCCCTTTCCAATCCTCCTTGTACCAACTAGAGTGGAGTGTACCCCTTTCGAGTTAACCTGTAAAAAACCTGAATTTAAAAATGGCTGAATTGGGTGAAGGGTTTGCTTTTGCCTGAAATACGATCTTCATAACTAATTACTGAGCAGAAAGCTGCTCCTAAATGGCCCCCCAAGATAAAGTGATGCCCCTTTGAAATTCTGCAGGAAATATTTGATGCTCGCACCATGAGAGATTTATCTCCAGTTTATGACTACTAATGTAACGAACATGCCTTCTTTATATAACTTGAGACGTGAAGTGGTTAACATAAAAGTAGCACTCTTTTCTAAGCAATAATGTTATTAAGAAGCACTTTTAAAGTACTTTTCATCTTCAAAGTGCTTTACAGACGAACTAATTAATCCTTTCAACATCCCTGAGACACAAGTATTTATCCTTTATAGATGGCAAGAAGGGAGGTGAGGCGCTAAATGACTCGCCCCAGGCCACGCGAGGACTCAAGTCTAAAACCAGGATTCCAATTTAAGAATTTCTGGTTTCCAGGAGTGTGTCAGACCAAACTTGATTTATAAAGTTTTGTGTGGGAAATGCATCCACGAAGTCTTCCAAATGACAAGCTTCCACATGACAGACGGAGTGAAACAAAGATCTAGTTGAGCTGGGTTATTTTAGCAAGAACTCAAACGTGAAGTGTAAAGGACCCCAGTGTGGATGTGAGTTATGCCAGCCTAAGCAAATTCCTCAGCCTGTCCGTGCCGTTCTTGTTCGTTCCTTTCATGGCTTCTGACGGGCTGTGGAGCCACTGAGACCTCAGGGTGGCACACAGCAAACACTAATTTGGGAAGAAAGTGACTTTTCAAGTAAATTGTGGGCAATTACTACTCTTTTAAGAATGACCTTATTTCCTCCATGATAGGGTATATAAATTCTGGTTTTCTCTCAATGTACTTTCGAGGTGCACTTGTAAAAACTTGTTCTGTCTGGGCTCCTTGGAGAGACGAGCGGGGTTTTAGAACGAGCCATGGCAGAAGATCAGACACAGGCACTGAGTGCGGAGATTGCTACATTAAAGCAAGTCCTACTTCCCTCCCTTTGAAAGTCAGTTTACGGTATGTGGCTGCTCACCAGCAGCTCCTAAGCCAGCTACCTGAGAATGAATTCGGTCAGAGACGATTTAAGAAGCAGACAGACACCTGAAAACTGTCTACTGTAACAGAAGAACAAAATGCAGAAATCCACGCTGTGTGACATCGATAAGGAAAGTTAAGAACTCTAGGGGAAAAAAATGTCACTGTCACACGATGAACAGCCCCCCACCACTTTGTGGGGACTGCTAAGAAGACAGATGTGGGCTTCCAACCTTTGTCAACCTTCCGAAGGTTGAAAGGACAGAATTATCGAGCACAGGACAACGGACACGGCTATGGGGTGGGGGCGGGGGGGTGGGGGAAAGAATCGGAGTTCTCAGCAAGGCTACCTTAAAAAAAAAATGGGCATGAAGTACAAGGGGAAACATCAAACTAGATATTTATTATATACCCCAGGAAATAATGCTCCTCAACTGAGTTTTCAGAAATCACTCTGTGTGGAGGCATGTGCATTAGTATAGCATTCAGAGGACTTAACTCAAAAGAAAGGACCCACGATCCCATAGTCCAGACCAAAGGGAACAGGAAGGCAGTGGAGAAACGGAATCTACAGCTAAACAGCAAATGTTAAATACTCTGTTTAGAGCCAAATACCTCTGACAAATATTTACAGAGACTGTGCAGGTCACTGAAAACTCCATCTCAATGCTTTCTGTCTGCATGTTCCTCAAAGCCCCTGTGTCTCTGGAGATATGAACTAATGCAACCAGCATATCTGGATACCTCATCTATTAGCTCTGTTCATATTTAAAAAGATTCCTAACATCCACTGTTGTTGCAAGTGTGGGGAAACAGGCACTCTGGTAAGAGCGCGAAGAGCTCAAAGCCTTTCTCCGGGGCGATATGACCCCTTTTGATCCAGCAAATTCCGGCACTGGGTGGTACAGCCTGAAGAAATCCCTGCACGTGTGGACAGATTTCTTTCTTTTTTTTTTTTTTTTAAAGATTTTATTTATTTATTTGAGAGAGAGAGAGAGAGAATGAGAGAGAGAGAGCATGAGGGGGGGAGGGTCAGAGGGAGAAGCAGACTCCCTGCCGAGCAGGGAGCCTGATGTGGGACTCGATCCCGGGACTCCAGGATCATGACCTGAGCCAAAGGCAGTCACTTAACCAACCGAGCCACCCAGGCGCCCCGTGTGGACAGATTTCTAACTGTGGAAAAGGAGAAGAGGAAAACAAGAAACAACCTAAACCTCCCCAAAATGAGGGTATCTTACATACGGTACAGCCCATCCACCTTAGGAACTAGCGATGCAGCTACTGGGAGGCCTACATGTACTTACAAAGAAAAATTTTCTAAACTTATCGCTACGTGAAAAGAGCAGCTCACTGGCAACAGGATCAGTAGGGCCCCTTGGTGTCCAGGAGAGATCTGCTAGCGCTGCACATGGGTGAACACCCACAGGAGTCACTGAATTCTAAAAAGGCACACACAGCAGGGACCTCAGGGAGGGAGTGTGGGGGTAAAAGCAAGACTTTCACCTTTTGTTCGACATTCCTATGTATTACAATGAAAAGATGCTTCCACATCACCTGAGTATGTATCAGCTTGAGTAAGAAGAGACTTTTTCTAAGTGCAACTTTGGAATTAAATTGCTTTCAAAATTAGATTAAAAATGCTTCTAATATTAAAATAAGACCGTGTTCCTTCAACTCTCATCCACTGGCAGTGAGGAAAATTAGCTGAAGAGTACAAACAGGCCAGAGTTCATCCACAAAGCGGATAAATTTGTCGGCGTGATGAGCAGCTCCCTGAGAGCTACTAAAACCAACTGGGGAAGAAAGTGAATTCCTCCAAGGCAGGAAATGTCTTTGAAATCTTCGAATTTCCAAGACGGACTACAGGCTAGGTGCTTCAAAGAAGGCTTACCCACTGAAGGGCCATCTGGCAGGGAGAGAGAGGAGAGGAGACAGCCCCAGCTACTGAGCTTCCGGAAGTTGTGTCGTTGTAGACCTCTCCTCCAGGCTCACCGGCACGTCCCCGCTAGCGCCTCCGTTAGGCCCTGCAGACTGGCTGTCGGCATGAACTTGCCCACTTTCCACCCACCCATCCTGATGGCCTCCCCTTGGGGCTCTGGGGGTGTACCCCTGCCCTTTCCGAGGCCCGTCTCCTCCTGACTGCTTACTGAATTCAGATCTGTCTGTTCACTTTGGTCTCTCGAGTCACTGCTTGCCACAGTTAAGTCCCTCCCTGCCCACTAACACATTCTATCTCTAATAGCCTGAAAGACCTTCCCCATCAAGTTATTGGCTTTGACGCCTTCCTTTTTCTGCCAAACTTCTTGGAAGAATCATCCACATTAACTGCTCACAATATTTATTATCTCTATTCATTCATCAGTCTGCTGCAATCCGACATCCGGGCTGATGCCGGAGAAGCTGGTCCCAGCAAGACGAGCTTCCTAATGGCTTTGCTCTGTTCCGTGGACCTCCCGCCTCTCTCTGACATTTGCGTCACACCCTCTGTGTCATTTTCTCCCTGCTTGGCTCTTCCCAGCTTTCCTCCTACGGCTCTGAAAACTCCTCAGTGATCTTTACTACTTCCTTCTCCTCCGCTTGTCCTCCAAATTGGAAGTCTTAGCCCTTGGCTGTCAGTTTTACTGGTGACAGCTCTAAAACGACATGCAGTACTTTGCGGCAGGTGTATCTTTCTCAAGAGAGGTGTGCAGTTTTTATCACAGACTAGAAAAATACCTGCTGCTGCCTAGGGGCTCCCCTCTTCACCCGCACCACACTCTACACATCAGAGTCGGTCTCAATCACACAGGGAAAGCTGCTCGCTCAGCCCCAGGTCTCTGGCCCACGCTCTGGGTCTCAGTTTCTCTACTGAACATCCCCAAGACACTTGGCACCGCACACTTACTGTGCTGATAGTGGGCTCACTACTTGCAGCCTTACACTTGGTCTTCATTCTGTCTCCTTGACCTTGGTGGCAACATTGCGAGACAGATCAACACTGCCGACCACTCCTTTCTCCTTTGCTATTAAATGAGTAACCAAACAACCTTGTGCTGTATGCCCATTTTCCTTTCCTATTCTTACTTGGACAGTTTTGTAAATAATTTGGTCCTAGGCTGCCTGGTCCTCTCTGCCCCATAGTTCAGGCTTTTATCACTTACTTCTGACTGGGACTACTGAATAGTCTGTTAGCTGAGCTCAGGGGCCCCTCCCTGCAGCTTCTCTCTAAAACGAGATATTTCATTACCAGTCTCTGGGAAAGAAGGACTTTTTATGCCTACAGGTTTTTATTTTTATGTTCTGTAACAAACATGAACTGCTTTTATTATGTAAGGATTCACATGATTTGGGGAAGGGGTTGGAAACAGATCTGCTCACGGTAATCTCAGTGGCTCAGCAGTGCGAGGGCCAGGGCCTGAATGCCGCCGCCACCACCCCCCCCCCCCCGTTACTCCAGGCGCCCCCACAGCGCCAGCTTCCCACGGCTTTCACACAGCGCTCCCTGTTCACACGCCGCCTCTCCCACCCTGCTGTGGGTGTGCAACTTTCTGTCTTTTGTCTCTCTCTTTGGCCAGTTTCAGTATGACCTCTTATAAAGACTTTCTTAAATCTCCAAAAGTTATATCCCTTCCTTTCTTATGCACTTGCCACACGCCTCTTTACAGCTCCTGAGTATCAGCGAGAATGGGAAGGCTACAGGCCTGGGAGCTGTGCCCTGTCTTTCCACCCCCTGGCTCTGGGCAGCACTTTGCTCACACTAGGCAGGCACTCAACCAATGTCTGACTGATGAATGGGCGGCCAGAGAGGCCGATAGGTGGTTGAATAAACTCACAAAGCACGGCACACCGTAAGGCATATAAATATGTGTTGACAGACATATGTATTTGTCGGATGCCATGTTACCATGACAAGCAAACAGGAGGACTCCCTCAAGTATTGAGTTAGGATTCATAATTCACTTTTCCCTTTGCAGAAAAAGTTTTAAAGTAGGGTAAGTCCAAGGGAACCTTTAAAACATAATACACGCAGTTTTGATGCTGTGTTTTATTGACTGCCTTGTGGTAACTCAAAAGAATAAGTAGAAGGCATCACTTTGGTTCTCTGAAGGATAATGGTTCAATGCTTCATTAAATACAAAGATAACACAAGTTCAGGGTTTGCCAAATTAATCCAGTCAAGACTAGAACTCAGTAAGCAGTTTGTGCCAAAATACCAGCAAACTGCAGGCTGTTCATAACAGAGAGTTATTACTTTAAGCAACAGGACTCTCCTTGTAAGCTCATGAAGTATTATCACTCATATAGTTCCTCTTCTCAAAAAAAATTCAACTTAGTAAAAATGTTTAATTGTAGTGTATTAACTTGGTTATTATTTATCCATTAAATACTAAATTTCCATCCCCTTTGTTTTCTTATTAATGTCCTGCTACAACCCACAGGCAGAACAACAATGTCAGGAAGTTTAGTCTTGCCTCCCACCCCCAAATCACCATGTTACCATGCTTACCTAAAGACAACTGTGCCCAGGTTTTTCTGGCCAATGGGTTGGGAGCAAATGGGTTCTTTCTCAGCAGACCTTGAAATGGTAACTTCCTAAGTTGCCTGACATGTGGCCAAGGCACAGGAGATTCAGTTCCACAAAAACTTATCAAGTACCTACTTGGGTCTAGTACAGATTCAGGAACCAGTAGTCAAGTAAACAAAGCAACACAAAACCAGCAGATAATCTAACAAAGAAACTCACTCCACAGAATCAGAAAACTACAAACACCTAGTCTTTCCTCTGCTTCTGAGTAGGACTCCAAATTGAATATCCAAGACTAACAGGTACATAAAAGGTGAGGCTGCACGCACTCCTGGTGGGAACGTGAAATGGAGCAGCCTCTTTGGAAGACAGTTTGGCAGCATCTCTAAAGGTTAAGCATATGCTACCGTATGATGGCCATTCCACTCCTAGGTATATAGTCAGAAGAAATGAAGCATGTCTGTGTAAGATCTTACACACAAATGTTCCTAACAGCATTATTCATAATAACCAAAATGTGGAGCAACTCAAGTGTCCATCAACTGGTGAATAATGAAGGAAACAGGGTCTATCCACATACCAGAACAGTTTTTGGCAGTAGAAATGAATGCAGCACCAACAGATGCTAAGGCACGGACAAACACTGAAGGCATTACACGACATAACGGAAGCCAGACCAAATGCCACATAGTGTATGGATCCAGTGATATGAAATGGCAGAACAGGCAAATCCATAGCGATAGGAAGTAGATTAGTGGTTGCCTGGGGATGGGGTGTGCTGGGGGCAGAGGGCAGCGGATGCTAATGGGGTGTGGGGCTTCATTTGGGAGAGATGAAAATGTTCTAAAATTAATTGTGGTAATTATATTCACAGGCACAACTCTGTGAATATACTAGAAACCGACGGACTGTACACTTTAAGTAGGTGAACTGTATGTTATGTAAATTATCTCAAGGAAGTTGTTATTAAAAAAAAAAAGTGGTAAAGATATCTTCAAAAGATATCGACCCTATTACTAGATTCTTTGTTCACCAGATCTTTTGTTCGTTAGAACCAGAATTTTGATATGCTCCTGGATTCTAAGTTGAAGGATTCACTCAACATTTGGTATCCCAGATACTGGCTAGAAGCTGGTGAGATGATGAGGACCAGCCATATCTCTGTTCCAGAAACAACTCAGCCTATCCATCGATGTCCTCTCTACCCAGATACTGGCTAGAAGCTGGTGAGATGATGAGGACCAGCCATATCTCCGTTCCAGGAACAACTCAGCCTATCCATCGATGTCCTCTCTACCCAGACACTGGCTAGAAGCTGGTGAGATGATGAGGACCAGCCATATCTCCGTTCCAGAAACAACTCAGCCTATCCATCGATGTCCTCTCTACCCAGACACTGGCTAGAAGCTGGTGAGATGATGAGGACCAGCCATATCTCCATTCCAGGAACAACTCAGCCTATCCATCGATGTCCTCTCTACCCAGACACTGGCTAGAAGCTGGTGAGATGATGAGGACCAGCCATATCTCCGTTCCAGAAACAATTCAGCCTATCCATCGATGTCCTCTCTACCTTTTCCCCACTTCTTGCATCTGAAAAACCCCATTTTCCAAACAGGAAGCCGGGAGCTGGAGAAGTGCAGACACAGAACCGGTACTGCCCCCAACCTCATACCTCATCCACCCTGCCCGACCCCTCCTCCTCCTCCTCCCCTGGGCTCCCCAGACCCTCCGGCTCTTCTCACGAGATTCCCCACCATGACCGTCTATCACATTAATACTCAGCCCACGAATTCTCAGAGCAGAGACTTATATAACCTACAGCTCGTACACAATCTGGAACTGAGGACCTAGCTTGTTCCTTACTTAGCCACCTACAACTGAAACTGCCCAAATAATATTTTTTTTTAACGTTGACTTCTTTATTATGGTAAAATATATTCACGTTGCTGTGCAACCATCACCACTATCCATTTCTAGAACTTCTTCATCCCAAACTGAAACTCTGTACCTCATTAAGTGGCATTTCCTCTTTCCCCCTCGCCCAGCCCTGGGTAACCACCATTCCTCTTTCTATGTATTTGACTATTCTAGCATACCACTCTTTCTCATCTCTCAATTTTCCTGCAAAAGGCTTAAAATCTCTGGCAAATTTTCCAAGTAACCAAGTAATCAGGGAAGCTGAGATATGGATAAACATAACTGAAATTCTAATTAAGAAAAATAACTTTTTGCTAAGACGCAAAGAATTTGTTGCCTCTTAATTACCATTGTACAGAAAAGTGCTGATTGTAGGGCACAGAATAAAACCAGCAGCTGTAGGTCAGGGCAACGGAGGGAAAGAAACAAGGACAACACAAGAACGTGACCTGTGCGGCATAAAAATGTTCTTTCGTATATTGGCCAATACTCCCAAGGCCATGCCCTGGGCCTGACTGTATGTAAACTCCACCTCAGAAAGTTATTAAAAGTCATCATCATAAAGACCAGTGTATTTCCCCTCCAGCCTTGTGGTGCTTCCACAAGAGCAAAATGTCCTGCTCAGGGCCACGTGGCCGCGAGGAAGAGCGAGGCCCCGGCAGCCCGGCGAAGCGTCACTGAGAGCAGGGTTACTCACTTCAGCAGCTTCTGCTTGGTGGCAGAATCTTTGAAGCTCCTGAATTCCTCGCCTGCTTTGATCTCATAAAACTGGGGCTTGAGGACTGTCTGCTGGTCCTCCCTGAGCCGCTCCTGCCGCTTCACCTTTTCCTCCTGCTGGAGCAGTCTGCGCTGCTTCCTGACCTCTTCAACCCAGTCCTTCTCATCATCTGAACTCTCAGAACTTTCTGCATCACTTGGTTTTCCTTCCGGTTCTTCCTCCTCTTCCTGAAAATAAAAATAGTAAGAAGCAGCTCCTTTCCCTCACCAGACACCGACCTGTTATTCTCTTCTAACTAACTGTCATCCACGGAGTACGTGACATCGCACGCATCGGGGGAAAACGCCTTGAATTAAGATCTACTTCCAAGCTGAAGTTCGAACAAATTACACCTCAAGTGCCTCAAAGGCTCTTCTAACTTACACAGAAAACTTTACATTCAAGAAACAGAAGCAGATATAAAATGATAAGGAGTACGTTACTTTTTCATGAAGCTCTTGTTGCTCTAAGAGTCTTAGTTTCTTCTTCCTTTTTTCACTTATTTTCGAAACAAGTGGATTCAAAAGCCTAAATTCTTCACTCTCTTCATCTACTTGGAAGTCAGGGTTCTCAAACATAACTTTAAATCGATCATCGGTGAGAATATTAGGAAGGCTCTATGACAAAAAGAATGTAGGAATTTAAAGTTAGTATGAATAAAATCTGACCAGAAAGATGGCCTAAAAACATTTCGGTCAATTATAACTTAATAAGCTGTATAAGGCATAACATTAAATTATTAGGAAACTTCTTTAGAACTAGTTTCCAGAACTTTCTAACTGCTCTTGGGTTTTATCATCTCCTACTTGCAAACATTTTCTATTAATCTATTTCACAGACAATATGTATTACTTGACCATTACACATAATGAGCGAAGACTGAACCTTTCTGGCTGACCTTTATGCTTCATACTTTGGAAAGAATTTTCTTCAATTAACATTTCTTATGAAAAAATACTTTTCAAGGGAATATATATTTTTAAAACATGGCTTTTTAAGCATAGCTTAAATAAATAAAATTAGTGAGTTTTCCAAGTTCATATTCCAAAACTGGGAAAGGAAATATAGAACAATAATAAGGCAAGAATTAACATGGCGGGGGGGCTGCTGATGGAAGCTTCCTGACTCTAAGTGAGTTATTTGGAAACATAAGGGAAGCTTCCATCTCTTATAGGATGGCCTTGTCAATTTTTTTCCATCGGCCATTTAATTGTTCACAAAGGATAGAGCGTAAACTTTCTGACACAATAAAACTGATAATGAGACCCATTTGAGTAGGCCAGGGCTGACACTAAGTTCCTTTTTAATTGTACCGTTTTGAAGAGAAAGTTTTCTAGAGTGTATCGTAAACTTAGCTGTTCCCATAAACAGATGACAATCTTCCACACTCAGGGCTCTCCTACGGTTTCTTATTTGCTACAGGCTTGGAACCCAGATAAATCAACCTACTTCACAGGGTTTGTAAATTAAACAGCCTGAACGCGGGCTGGAGAGGCTAACCTGTTTGTGGTTGTTTGTAAGCAGTGGAGTTCTGAGTGTGGTACTTGGAATATAGCTACACAAAAATTTGATTAAGTCATCAGACATTAAGGAACTTGGGCTGTTTATTACTGGTATGTACCTAAAATCTGATGAACCCTTAACCTAAAATTCTATGACATACTGAATATATATTTAAGATACACTGAACAAGCCTTCCCTGATTAAATATCATTTCTAAGACAGATTTAGGTTCGAGGAAGAAACAAAGATAAGATCTAGTTCCTGATCCCAAGGTGCTAGCTCCGAATCTAATGAGAAAGAAAAAAACAAAAACTGAGGGGCCCCTGGGTGGCTCAGTCGTTGAGCGTCTGCCTTCGGCTCAGGTCGGATCCCAGGGTCCTGGGATCGAGCCCCGCGTCGGGCTCCCTGCTCAGCGGGAAGGCTGCTGCTTCTTCAACCACTCCCCCTGCTTCTGTTCCCTCTCTCGCTGTGTCTCTCTCTGTCAAATAAATAAAATCTTTAAAAAAAAAAAAAGAAAGAAAAAACCAAAAACTGAAACAAAAGCCTGGAGGCTCTAAGGATGCTAAGAAAAGCTGAAAGTGCTCTAAGAGCACAGGTAAAAAGAAACTCCAACAGGAGACAGGTCAGAAGGGCTCACTGACGGATGTGGCATTTGGAGGACAGATGAACAGTTTTCAACAGACAGAAAGCTGAAGGGCATTTCCAGCCCACTGAGGAGCGGTGAACAGTCTGACGACACAAGAATGACAGAATCGGAAAAAGCGTTTTTTCATCAGGCCAGACCGTAAAGGAAACCAGCCCCGTAACACCGGGCACTTTAGGCTGCAGGTGGGGGCAACTCCTAGGGGGGAGGAGGAGGAGGAGGAGGGGACAGGTGACAGCTCGAGGTGTGTTCCAGGGCTCTCGGATGACAAGAACTCTGCTGTGCGAGTGCTCAGCAGCACGGCAGCTGAGGGACTGCCGAGGGAGCAAGCAGGCATGAGGAAGGCTACAGGGCCGCTTTCAGAAACCCGGAGAAGAGCCAGGGCCCGACTCAGGGTGGGAACACTTCCACATGAGAACTGACGGATGCAGCTACAGAGGAGCTGGCAGGAGGGGGGAGTGAAAAGCAGAGTGCGAGGTCCAGCTTAAGTGACTGGACAGTTGGTGTTACCAGGAGTTGGGCCCCATCACTGAAGAGCATCAGAAAAAGAGGCACAGGGTGGAGCAAAGGATGAGAAGTTCCAAAAAACCAAGGTGACCTCCAGCAAGGGCACGGAGAAGCCGCGGCAATGTTCAGACAACTCGAGAGGATTCTGCACTAGAAAGAAATGAGCCAGGAAGTCATGGAAAGACATGGAGTAACCTTAACTGCATGCTACTAAGTGAGAGAAGCCAATCTGAAAAGACTTCATATGTACGATCCCAACTCTATGGCATTCTGGAAAAGGAAACACTACGGAGAGAGTACAAAGATCAGTGGTTGTCAAGGGCCAGGGTGAGGGAAGGATGAACAGGCAGAGCACAGATGATTTTTAGGGCAGTGAAAATACTGTATGATATTCTAATGGTGGATACACCTCATTATACATTTGTCCAAACCTACAAAACATACAACACCAAGCCTAATGTAAACTACGGACTCTGGGTGATGACTCTGGGCGATGATGATGTGTCCACATAGACTCACCAAGTTAACCAATGTCCCTCTGGTGAGGGATGTGGACAGGGGGATAGGCTGTGCGTGTGTGGGCGTGGGGGGCACATGGGAGAGAACTGTGACTTCCCCTAAGTTCTGCTGTGAACCTAAAACTGCTTTAAAGAAATTAAATCTTTAGGGAGAAGGGCATCTGGATTCTGATGAACACTATTAGATGCCTGGGAACAACACGCCAGGTCTCAAGTGAGAGAAGGAGACTAAATTGTATAAATTCTTAGTGTATTCATTAAATAATCACATTTAGTAATAGAGAAACGTGTTACAAAAAATATGCTGCTAGTATTCTTAAGTTTTTTTCTTAATTTTAAACAAATCAATTGTATTGCCTAAAGACAAATATGTTTTGGATGAACAACTATAAAATAATAACTCTCCTGACCTAGCTATAAAAATACTTCCCTTGGAGATTTTTCCTAGTCTAATTGTTTGCTTTCACAGCTAACTTAAAAAAAGGAGAAGGATCAGATGTAGTCAGTGATGCTCCACAGCAGTTTATAAGTGTCTGGCTAGCTCTCTACCCTAGAAATACACATGCACATATGCTAAACACCTGCCATTCAAATTTGAAAAACATCTCAAAGCACTATTCCTACCACAGCCCTACTTCAAAGAAGTATTATCTGTAGATTTGAGTAGGATGCTTACTATGAATATTTTGTCCCAACATAGTAACATACGAGGAATGCTTAACATTCGAAACAAGTCCATTCCTTCGGTGCTGTCTATGAAATTAACGCTATGATGTCTGTGGTGCAGACTTCTGGGTAAAGATGGCAGTCTGAACAGAAGCATCTCCTTCTAATCTCTGCTAAAACCCCAGGAAAGCAATAGAAAATGGGCTTAAAAAAGACACGACCCTTAAGGATAAGGAGGACAAGAAAGAAACAGGAGCAGTGATTCTGGAAAGAAGAAAGGCAGGCCTCAATCCCTCCCTGTCCCAGGAGAGGTGCCGTCCCTGGAGGGGAAGGGGTGCCTGCGGGGGCAGCAGCTCCCTGAGGGCTAGGGAAGCATGTGGCACAAAGGGGCTGCAATGCCGCCCCGCGCCCCACACCCCAAGCCCTCCTGACGAAGGTTCTCAGAATGCTGGGAGCCAGGCCATCACCTCCAAACAGGAGAATCTGACCAGCGAAGAGAAAGGCCAAAGAGATACTGCTATGTGGAGCTCCCCAAATAAACAGTTGCTGGGTCACCACACAGTGAGTGGTGAGTCCTGTCTCCCCACCTCAGAGTTTCCACTAAGCTCTTGTAGGTCCTTCACTCTTAAATATAAACAAATGACCTGAGATCACAGCAGGGGAAAACTACTTAAACATTTTTTCCCCCCAAGAAAATCCCCCAGCACCGAAGAGCCTAAGTTTCTGGATTGAACGGGCCTACACAGTGGCCCGAACTGCGGGCTGGATTATGAAGGGAAGACCAGCCCACAGCCATCTGTGGGGGGCTTCCTTGCACTCCTCCTCTTCCTTGCCCCACTCTCTTATTTTGGAGGAGAAAATCCTGAGGGACTTCCTCAGGAAAATAAACACATAAATGTAATGTGTGGTTGTTGCTGAGAACCTACATGTTTGAAAATCTCTTCACTATACCCTTACACTGACTGCCTGCTTGTCTGGGTTGGAAACATATTCCTTCAGAAAACTAAAGGTCTTTTTAATTCTGCATCCCACACAGGGTGTAGGTGGGGTGCATCCCCAGGATGCTGACTGTGGACCAGCACTTGGAGGTGGCTAGTCCAGAATGGAGAGAGGCCGACACATCAGAAGAGACTCTGTCAGGAAAAGAAAAGTTAATGTAACAATCGATATTCATATAAACATCTTGAGATGAGACTTAGACAACCAGCAAAGGATTGAGGGCTAACCAGTGATCACTGTATAGAAAACAAAGAAAAAGCCAACCACTAAATCCATGGAAGATGGAGGCTGGATGGGGGATACATAATCCCAGATGGCCACCTGACTCCGCCTGGTATGGGAAGAGCACACGCACAGTCCCAACAAGCTAAGTGCTGACTGTCCTAAGCTGCAGCAGAACTTACAAGGAAGGTCATCAAAAGATGAAAGATAACTGGCCTGACATTTAAAAGCCAAGAAGGAGCATTAGGGGCAATATTAAGAGACTTGGAGCTTTACACCAAAGTAATCCACTAAAAGTGCCAAAGTGTTTGTCTCCAGACAGGTGCAAACGGGGGAGAATGTGGGGGGGAAGAGAAGGACAGAGGGACAGCCAACGTTCCTAACAAACCCTGGAAAAACATTTCATTTTTAAAACCACGTGTTTAAAATTGTAATAAAAGCCAAAAACAATCTTTAATTGGTACTAAAAAACATTAAAAAAAAATATCTGGCATGTTAAAACTGATCTGATCCAACCCAGTGTCTATGCATGGCTCTATCTTTCCCTAGAGAGATGAATTATTACTTTAAAATATACTCTTAATGGTATCCAATAAACCTGCAGGCTAAGACACCTCTCCCGTGCATGGCCCAGGTGAGAGTATGCTCGGCCTGGAGATGTCGTGCAGGACCACACACGACTGAGCTGCCACAGAATCCAAAGAGAAGGACGTCTATCCAAGACTCCAAGGCAACAGTGAAAAACTGGTAGAAGAGGCCAACAGCCAGGAAATGACACTTGTAAGAAAAATGGCTCAAACCCTTTCAAATCCAATGAATCACCAGTGTGCCACGCCTCTCCAAGATGCCTGTGCGCACAGGGGGCACAATATGGATTCGGTGCAAAAATGAATGAATGCCACCAAATGTCTAAGTTTGGATAAGGTCCAGATAATGCTTCTTACATTAGAGAGTGGGCCCGTTCGCACTCCAGGCCCAGCATCGGTACTGAACAGAACACACCTTATTACACTTCAACGATGTTATCAGTGGCAGCAAGATTAGGGAACAGATTTCACTGTCTGCCTCCAAGAAATTCCAGCTGGGGCCAAAGCAGAACTAAACCATACTGGCTTTCACATCAGAAGTCATCAGAGCTATGAAAGCTCTTGAGGGTTTGCAGAACTGAGTTCAAAGGCAAGACTAACGAACTGCTGATAGATGGAACAATTCTTTCAAGTGTTCTTTACATTATGGGGGGTTCTTTCCTTAATTCATGAGTGGTTTTTAAGGTCTTCATTTTAATTAGATAACCACGTTAAACATCAAATCATGTAAACTTTGTCTAATAACAGCCTGAGATTTCGAAAAAACTTTTAAGTATTTCCAGAAAGAAACCGAGCTCTGATGACAGGCCTGGAATTGGGTCAGCAAGCCACCGAAAAGCAAATCAGGGGCACATTTCACAAATACCAGTTTGTAGCAGAATTTTCTCAGGGGACGTAGCTTTTACAAAAATAGCACTTCGAGCTTCCAGGAGCTACAGAGACAATGCTGTCTGATGAAAGAAGATAAGAATTTTGAAGGGTGTTCCTCCTGGTACTGCAGTTTAGAAGGAGGACGTAGTCCGAGGGAGGATTCTTTACAGGACAACCCTATCAACATTCTGACAAGAATTTTCAAATGCACAAAATCACGACTATTAATAAGATCACTTTATGTGTTTTCAGCTCACACAGTCATTTTTTACTAGCCTGCACCCCATGTACAGGGAGGACCATCTGTGTTAGAAACCTTCTCTGGCTGTCCCCAACCCCAGTGAAAGTCTGCAAAAAAAAGGGGGTGGGAGGCGAGGACAGGATACTTTTCCCACATCTTCATAACCATCAGGGCCTTTTAAAAGGCTCCTAGACTGACTATGCCACACTGCACAAGCACCGCAGTTACAATCGAAGTGTCCTACTCTCTGTAATATTAAGATATGTATCATTATAGATAAGGACTCATAAGCATAAAACACAGATAGGAACGCATACATCTGCATCCTACAGCAGGCCCACACTCTTCCTCCTGAAGCTTTAGGGCACGTAATCCAAAGATCACTTCCATTTAGCTTGTAAAACAACATTATGAAGTTGAAAAGTTACCTCCTTAAATCTGAATCCTCAGGCTGGGCTAACAAGAAAATCAAGGTGAATACTCTGAGGAGGGAGTCAACACAGCAGGAGGCACTTCCATTTCAAGCACTTTAAGATCCATGCACACACTTAATGCCCTGATGTGAATTAATTAGGAGGGGCTGTAGACCCAGCACGTGGATATAAATGTATATAGTAAGTTTAAGTAATTGTTTCAATGTTGGTGTATTAGTCACATAAGGAAAACGGAAACAAAAAAGTCATCTATGGATTTACTTAAGAGAGGCTTCTAAAAATCAAGATTTAAATAACATATTTAAAAAACCTACTAGACCAGGATGGGAAGATGCCACCGGAACGAAGAGGCAGAGGAGAGGAAGTGAGTGGTGTGTACTCCACTTAGAAATCACAGCACTCCAAGAACACCCTCTCTCTGGTCCTATCTTTGCATGTGATAGAAGAAAAAACTCTGCTCCAGTAAAGCCCGGGATCACGGAGCAAGAAGCTAGTGAGAAACAAGAGCCTTCAGCTGAAGTCCACTGGCGTCAGGGAAGGGAGTGGTGGAACAAAAACACACAAAGAGCTGGCTTGTCTCCCATTCACTTAACCTGGTTAGAAACCAGCAAGAGAACAGAGAAGAATAAACAAGCAAACAAAAATCTCCTGCGAGCATAACACAGCTGGCCCGAAGTTCCAAGGTCAGGCCCTTCACGCCGAGCCGGGGCCCGCGGGCTCCTCAGAGATCGGATCTTTATAACTCATTCCAGCAAAGAGCCAAGCTTGAGTGATTTGCCTGCCTGCTCGTCTAAGCAGATGATGAGGAGTCCTCACATACGTAGGAAAACTAGAAAAATCTCCCCCGTCTTGATAATATCAGCGACATGAAACACTAACCCTTACTTATTTCATGACTGATCTTCATCCATTTTCACATTAGTAAAGGAAGGTAAGAAGCAGTTACACATAAGCATGCATACTCCTGATAACGCCAAGTCTAAATAAAAATTAATTCTGGAATTATAAACAGATCTAGTCAGAACAAAGAAAAACAATAAAAAATTTAAATATTTAACAATAAAAGGATTAAATAAATTATACATCCTTAAGAGTATATGCAGCTCTCAAAAGTATGAAGAATTTTTAATGAAATGGAAAACCACTTGTGTTATTTTATGCAACCAAGATAAACATCTTATATATACAATTATTATCTCACTATTACAGCTTATAATTTTAAGAGAAATAAGACAGGAAGGAAATTCACTAACATATTAATGATGACTTTCTCTAGGTAGAATTATGTAAGTGACACTCTTTATGTTCTTTTCTATTTTTCCAAACTTCCCATATTGAGCATAAACTATCCCATAAGCAGGGGCGAAAAAAGCTACATGTATTTTTCAAGAAGAAAGAAAAAAGATAATTAAAAGTTACTACTAAGAAAATATAGAAACAATTTATCAACGTCTTCACTGCCTTATAAAATCTTACCTTAACTTTCTTTTTCCAGGTAGATTTTTGCCTTTCCTCCTCTTCCTCAATTAATTTAAGTGCTAGTTCTTTGTTAACTTTGGGCAATTTCTAGCAGAAGAAAAAAAAGGTGTATTAAATACCTACATTTTAGCTTTACAAGTTGATAGTTCTGTAAGGAGTATAATTTCACAAACAGGAAATTTCTTATTTATTTTTTAAGTGGGCCCCATGCCCAGCGTGGAGCCCGAACTCACGACCCTGAGATCAAGACCCAAGCTGAGATCAAGAGTCAGAAACTTAACTAACTGAGCCACCCAGGCACCCCTCCAATTCTTATTTTTAAAATTTCATTATCCCCAGAGGACGAAATAATGTGGACACACGTGATGTTATCAGCTGGGAGTACTTGCCCTCACCCGGTCTCTTTCCTGGAGTACTGAGGAGTGAGCTGGGAGAAGCTGTGTTTGGCCGAGGTCAGCCTCAGAGGGCCAGGTCCCTCGCTGATGAAGTGGAGACCAGCAGGCCTGCTATTGCAGCTTCTGGCTGGGGCTCAGGGAACCTCTGAAACGCTACTAATAATGTTAAATGCACTATTCGCTGCTCCTGAAACAGCAAATTTCTAAGGGGAATTCTAGATGTGAGTCTGACAATGCTCAGGAAAAGGTTGTGAGCTCTTTATTGTCCTTTTCCACTTAGTGCTTTATGTTCCATTGTAAAATACAACTTAGACAAGTAATGCAAAGAATGGGACAAAAGTACTCTACACATCCTAGTCTCCCCCTTACCAACACACACACATTCAACACTCCTAGAAAATTTCACAAATAATCTGCAAAAAGGGAAACAGTCTTTGGTACGGAGTGTGTGTGTACAGATGTATACTTACGTATATATGTGCAGACATGTATTTATGTATGTGTGTATTTATTTATTGCCAATGTCCAGTTAGAAATGAGTGTGTCACCTGGTGGTGAACCGTAACCCAGTGGGGCTGCCAGAGAGACTGGGAGGCAGAGGGGACTCGGCTTCCCTGTCTGCCTGCTATTGGGCAGGCAGCGCGAGGCAACAGTTGTTCACCCTGGCAGCGAGCAGGTGGTTCCAGCAGAGTGCGGGACCCCAGCGGGCGGTTTTCTGACCCTCTCAGGAGCAGAGAGCGCCAGCACCAGAGGCTCACAGGCCGGGGTCCCAGCAGCGCTGCCTCCTCCCCGCCACCCAGCCCTGAGGCTGCTTCCTGCAGCCACGCCTGAGGCGCTATCCTTATGGTTTTTGCCTCAGTTCTCTAACATTCTTTACATTAAATTCTATTAATAGAACTAGGTGATCTGATTCCTTCTGGACCCTGATGTAGTCTGATGACCATGACCCAAGCAGATAGCCTCAGATACTGCCAAATGTCAGAAAGAAATGGGGATTATCAAAGCCTCAACACTCCAAACACTGAAAACCCATTTGAGAATTCCGTCACATTTTCTTAGAAGGGCTGATGATATCAGTCCCTCTGGCATTATTTCTCATAATATCACTGCCATAGAATCCATCATGTTCAAACTGTAAAGAGTATCCACCCTCATGACCAATAAAATAGATCAAAACTATTAGGAAAAGATGTAAAACTAAAAATGGGAAAACGAGGGCGCCTGGGTGGCTCAGTCGGTTAAGTGTCTACCTTCGGCTCAGGTCATGATCCCAGGGTCCTGGGATCGAGTCCCACATCGGGCTCCCTGCTCAGCAGGGAGCCTGCTTCTCCCCCTGCCCCTCCCCCTGCTCGTGCTTTCTCTCTCTCTCAAATAAATAAATCTTAAAAAAAAAAAAAAAAAGGGAAAACAGAAATAGATGGCAGGTTTCTTTGGAATAACACACAAAATGAAAATGTAGTACTTTTCTGGTAAGCTCAATAGTGAGTAGAACACAATATCTACCTTTAATTGGACTCTCTGTGCGCGGGTTTCTTCTATTTTCTGTCGGATCTTATCTTTCCTGTATTCTTCATAAGCAAATGGATTTACCATCAATTTCACCTTTTCATAGTGGAAAAGAAAGTTCAAAAATAAAAGTCATATTTAATAGCATGTTTCATCAACACCATGACTATTCTGCCAAAGAACGGGCAGCTCTCTTACAAATCATAAGCATGTTCTGCAAAATGCAAGTAAACAGAGAAGGAATGGCTCATTAATCACCTAAAATAAGTGTAGTCTATTTACCTTGTGATAGAGTCTTATATCCATGAAAAATCCATGCATATATGCCCGGAGGAAAGGTGATCCGATGAGATGTGTGAGCCCTGGAGGGAGTTAATCAGAAGAAGGCAGATCCTTATGAAATCTTAATGAAAGTTAAACCATTTTTTCTTATATTATAGTAAGATTATAATAGGATTTCACTTCTGATTTGATTATAAGGTTTCACTTTGGAGTAAAACTGTAAGTATGAGAACCACTAATCTTCACAAACTATGGAGGAAATTTAATCCACTTTAAGCAGTGTCACCCTTTTTTATTTTACATGTCATTAAGCACAAAAATGATGAAAAAGTCTTTGTGAACTATGAAAGACTGGCAAAGAAGGATTCTTTATGCTCGTGGTTCTCAGGTTTTTGGATTCTGTGAACCAGTTCAAATTGAAGAATAATCCCGGCATCAACAGTGACTTGCCAACTTTATACCATCAGGGAGGAACAGCGGTTGTGGTGGTGGGCGGGGGGGAATTATCTCCCATAATTTCCAAACACAAAGCATGCTATTACAATAATGTAAGAAGGGCATGTTCTTTCCGTTATTCTCATTTTACAGATGAGAAAACCAAGGCTCAATGAGGTTCAGTAAACTGGCCAAGCCACACAGATACTAAGCAGAAGATGTGGGACGCACACCCGTCCGTCTCCCTCTGATGCCCACGGTGTTAGCCACGGTACGCTCCGTCCAACATTCCAGCACAAGTAACATTCCATGAAACATGTTTCGGGAAATACCATGCTTTATAACTGCCTTCCTCACCCGAAATGAACACAGTGAAAGAGACTAAACAAGCACCCAAAATGAACACAACACAGTATTTTTAACAACTTTGCAAAATAGCAATGACTTTTTCCGTCTGATTTAAGAATGGAGGTGAGTATGACACATCATAGTGTACAAGTTACACTGGAGCTATTCAGGAAGGCACATCAGGAGGAAGATCCTACTGTACCATATTTTATCCCAGCATCATTTTTAAAAGGCTGACTACAAGCCTCTTCTCTTTAAACATTAAAATGTAAAGAGTTGTTTTGGTGGTAAGTGGTAGAAAATGAATTCTGCCTAGATTAATTGTGCTATGAAATAAAGTTCAGAAACCTCTCAGTTTATTTATGACATGATTCTATTTTCTTGTAACACTTAACTGCCGCTGTACATCTGTCTGCCCCACAGACAACTGAGTTGCCTAGACTCGTGGAGAAGGGGTCCTCGAGGTTTGCCCACTCTCCATCATTTTCTGTGCAGCCTTTCTCCAATGACAGAACTAGATCAGCAAAATCTGCCCTCCTTATCCTATGAAGTAGGACCTGTCACCTGAGACACACGCACTCTTCCGACGGGTTGGTGTGGCTGAGGTGAAGCGCATACGCTCTAGGTGTAAACCCCAACCCTCGTGTTCATGACTGAAGCCTTTGGCAAGTTAGTTTCACCTTCTAGTGCCTCTGTCTCTTATCTATAAAATGGCATCATAACCATATCCACTCCATGGAGTGGGGAGGATTAAGAGTTGTATGTAAACATTCAGAATATTACCTGCACATGATAAGCCCCACAATGTTGGCTGCTGGTAAAAGGCATTTCTTGGTCTGTGACCTTTAAGCCGAAAGTAACTATAAGGTTCTACATATCTGAGGATTCAATCGGGTTCCCAAGTTTTGGATGGGGTCTTCTACAAGCAAACTTAAAAGGGAGCCAGAAGCATTTATGTGCAGTCTCTGAGATATTTTCAAAACCTTATACTCAAAATAGTACTTGAAGAAAATCACCACTTTCTTGACATTTTTTCTATACATAGCTAGTATGCTAAAGAAAATTATTCCTCATTTAAAATACAAAAAAGCTTCAGTAGGTTGAGTTTATCTCAACCTTTCTCTCAGCAGAGATTACAAACTTGACAATATACATAGCAAGTTTAATATCTGATTTGGCAGAAAGAGAAGATTTCGAAAATCAGATAAATGTGACTCTACTACCTCTTACATTCAAAACTTAACCCCCAAATAATTTTTTAAAAATTTTATCATAATTTTTTTACCTAAATTTTCAAGGTCTTTCTTGGTGACAAATTTGTAATCATCGTAAACCGTGCTTTCAGGATTCTCTTCTAATTCTTCTGTCAAGTTGTCCAGGAACGAACACCACCTGGGAGCAGGACCCAAAACCTACCGGTGTTGATCAAAAGGTTAGCACATGCACATTCTCACCACGTCAACTAAGAGTTATTTTACACCAGATTTTCTTAAATAAAATTTAAAAATCCTTGTTCCTATCAGAAGTATTGAAAAATAACTGCAATATGCATAATCAACAAGTATATAATGGAAGAAAATAAAGTAGGAAAAATTTAGGCCTGTAAAGGAAAAATCTGTCTGGGATGTAAAGATATTAATGAATATTTTTATATTAGCACTATCAAAATACAAAATATTTTAATTCAGGTCCTTAAAATAACATCCATTTGTCTATCACCTCTTTTATTCAAAAGATTACTAAAATCTACAAAGCATATTTAGTATAAAAGATTTTTTTTAAGTTTGCCGTTTTCAAACGGAAGTCTAAAATGAGAATTACCCTCTTTTAAGGGGTTCTCAACTAATTACTTGATAATTATATTTGTTCTTGTGTGGTCCACTTCATTTAATTCATTAAAAATTAAAATTCTGTATATAGAATCCTTCGGACTTAACCTAAAAGGGTGCCAAGACCCACAAGTTAGGGAGAAATAAAAGTTGAACAGAATTTATAACTACTAAAATAGGAATAGTTCATTCTGTAATCCTACTTCCATAAAATACCGTGACTGCTTTTTACTTTTTTGCTGTCCATACACATCTCTCCCAGCACGATGCCTCACCCCCCAAGGTCAAAGCTTACCCCAAAGGAAGCAACGCTGCTTAGCGGGAAGGCCATGCGGCTGAAAGCTTCCCTGAACTGCAGGCTTTCACAAGGAACAACCCCGGGCTCTGACAAAATGGAACTTCCCATGACTACTGCCCTGTCTATTGTGATAGTAATCAATCAAACAGGAGAAAAACAAAAGTCATAATGGAAATGATTAAATCTAGCTTAAACTTTCTGGGGAAGGAAAGGTGGGAGGAAGAGAGTTGTAACAAAGAAAAACAGTGCCTGATACCATCTCCAATCAGAAACAGGTAAATGTCAAACATGGCCATACGAATGCAGTATTACTGTGCCTGACTAGAAAGGGTGATCCCCGCCCCCGCCAAAGGCTATGGCACTTGCAAACATGAAAAACCATGCTTAATGAGCATAAAAGGAGTCCTAGCAGGAAGCTGCATATTAGCAATCATCTATGCAATTTTTTTAAAGTAAAGGTTTTGATGCACCAAGTGGTTTGACTAACCATGAAAGACAAACCTTAAAGAAATGCAAAGCATTAAAAAAAATTCAATGTAGAATACTTTTTAAAGAAACTGCTATGATTTAAGCAATTTTAGGAAAGTAGCCTGACGTCAACAAATACTAATAAATGCTACTACATCTAAAGCACTGCACGAAACCAAAGTCCCTGACCATGATCTCCCTGAAGGAGTTTAAAATCTCACTGGGACAAGAAATCTAGCAGAGCACACGCACACACCCACTCAGCCGTGCACATCAAGAGACGGAGACTGCAGGGAGTCCTTGGGGAAGACGGGCGAGGCCAGGAACAAACAGCAGGGACACCGAAAATCACATACGGAGGGACTTCGGGTTGGAGTGAACTCATGAGCCAATGGGGAAAACCACAGAGAGTGACAGCTCGGGCACTCACAACTTCCCCTCAGTCATAAAGCAAACGCAAAGCTCCGCCACATGCTGGAGTAGGACCTGAGACAGCAACCTTCTCTTCTTCTAAGCAGAATGTAAGTACACTGTGGTCATCTTTCTGGAATATAATATCCAAGAGACTGTCCTCGTGGGAGGGTAGGAACCTCATCTGTTCTAAATGCCGAATCTCCAGTACCTAGAACATCACCTGCCAAGTACTGTGCTTTCAGTACATTTCACAAATACCTCTACTGGTACATGATGTATGCATGCATTCAGGAATTCCAGCACGCACAGTACTAAGACTTAAGGGGTCCTGTCTGGCAAAAGTATTTTTGAAATTGCTTAATTTTCCTTATTCAGATAAAAACACTCAAATACCTCACCATAAAACTGCTGGATATGAGAGCACTTTTTGGTGAAAGTCAGACCATTCTGCCCCCAGGCAAGGGGGCAATGGTGACCAAAAGACCTCATAATAAGAGAGTTTCACTTTTAAAAGCCTTCAATTAGTGATAAACCACGGGCCTCAAAGACAGTAAGAAGATTATACTATGTTTAATGACTTTTCTTGGGGGGATGATGAGAAGGAATATCAAAATATCAGGCCAGATGTGAGCTGACTTTCACAAAAGTCCTTTTTTATAATGTTCCACAACATTCATCTTGATTAGTTAACTGGATTCTAATGGAATTGTTTTAAACTGCCTCTTGGGGCAGGTCTGGGTATGGTAAATAAACTCTGCAATCAAATTCATGGCCATTAAATTTTACAGGAGGAAATATTTCCATCAAAAACAAAATGAAATCTAGTGGGTTGATTTTATTAATCACATTTCCCTAGTTCCTCTTCAGGGGGAAAAAAAAAAAAAAGGAACATCAGAACAACCATAACAAAGTTGAAATTACTGATTTAACGGGCATTAAACTGCAGGTTTTATCTACATTCCAGCTTTCCTCAAAGGGCTACCATTAGGTTGCAAAAGCAGTGGTCAGCTTAACCAATAAGGAGGGCACAACCCCATGCACAGCTTTCTGAGGTACCTATAATGACCACAACATTAATTAATGTGTAAAAAGTCCTTGTTGTACTCACTCATAAAATATGTTAAACCTTCAATTAGTCCTTAAAAATATGTTAATTTACTTCCTAAATTTCAGGCTTTACAACTTGAAGAAAACTTCCTTTCTAACCACTGGAATACTCTTACTATATCAAAAGCTTCTAGGTTTTCTGTACTGTCATTATATTGCTATTTCTGTACTTTACTTCAGCCACAACTGAGTATTGTTCCTTTATCTACATTTTTATGTACCTTAAAGAGGTTTTTTTGTTTCAGAAAAGTAGTGGAGATTGTTCTATTTTAAACTTCTATTATCTATTAATGAACTTCTACTTCTGATTTATAAGAATTTCCTAAAGTCACGGGTCAGCACAGCAGCGAACTGGAAACTGATTCAACCAACTGCTACGAAGGGTTCCTGCGGGCCCCTCAGCAGCTTCAATGACCATCGTACCAACCAATCTAGCCGGAAATACGTGGTCCTCCCAAATGGGAAAGAATCCTTCTCACATTGTCCGGGGAAGGCCTCAACTCCAGTGCAGCCAAGTATCTGCTTGCTCTAATCCATCTGAGCAGAAGAACCGATTTTAAAGTACATGAAAATACATGCTATGTGCCTGAGATCATCTGCCTCTGTGGTTACAAACTACCTTAACGCTGCCCAGGCTTACTTTTAAGACCCAAAGTTCTCGTATATTCCGGTAGTGGACAGAAATGACAGAGGGGGGAGAAAATTCTTCTGGAGTCCACAGAAGGTAGCCCTCCCACCACTCGACTTTTGAAACTTCCACTTAGCCAGAGCCAAGACTGAGGATTTACTAAAGGGATGGTTTTTAACAGATCAAGGATAGTTAAAATAGCAACAACGATGTATTATTCGTATTATTAGAGACAAAGAACCAAACCACTAAGTCGGTATAAATGTCATCATTTCTTCCATTACTTATAATGCTACTGAACACAACCAAATAATCTCATTATCTTCCTACCATTAATATAAGAAAATAACCGATAACATAAAACAGCAATTAAAATTATCATCTTTTTTGTTTACTTCAAGTTTTTATTTAAATTCCAACTAGCTAAGAGTGTAATATTAGTTTCAGGTATACAATATAGTAATTCAACACTTCCATACATCCCCCCGTGCTCATCACAACAAGCACAAGGGTGCTTACTCCTTAATCCCCGTCCCCCATCTAGCCCATCTGCCCCTAACCATCAGTTTGTTCTCTGTAGAGTTAAGAGTGTTTCTTGGTTTGCCTCTTTCCCCCGCCCCATGTTCACCTGTTTTGTTTCTTAAATTCCACAGATGCGTGAAATCTTACGGTATTTGTCTTTTTTCTGACTGACATTTTGCTTCCCATAATACACTCTAGCTCATCCACGTTGTTGCAAATGGCAAGATGCATTCTTTTTGATGGCTAAGTAATAATATCCCATTGTAAATATATATACTCCACACCTTCTTTACCAATTCATCATCAGTCAATAGACACTTGAACTGTTTCCATATTTTGGCTATTGTTGGTAATGCTGCTATAAACATCAGGGTGCACGTACCCCTTTGGATCCCGACATTTGTATCTTTGGGGTAAATACCCAGTAGTGCAATTGCTGGATCGTATGGTAGCTCTATTTTCAACTTTTTGAGGAACCTCCATACTGTTCTCCGGAGTGACTGCACCAGCTTGCATTCCCACCAGTGTGTAAGAGAGTTCCCCTTTCTCCTCATCCTTGCCAACACCTGTTGTTTTCTGTGTTGTTAATTTTAGCCATTCTGACAGGTGTGAGGTACTATCTCATTGTAGTTTTGATTTGTATTTCCCTGAAATTATTATCTTCAATTTTTAATGACTTAAAAAAACTTTAGCAACTAAGAAAATTCTTAATTACTCCATTTGGTAGAGCTCTATCAACAGACAGTAAATAACTTTGAACTAAAATGGGCTTATAAGCTGGGAAACTTCAACTGTTATTAGCACACAAAAAAGTATATAATGTATCCAAGTACAAACAGTTGACTTTTAAAAATATTCTCTTACAAAATTTTCAGAATGCGTTGCAGCAGAGTGTGCAGTAGGGTATCTCTTAGTGATAACTGGAGAAAGAACCATCACAGTGTGAGACAGCATATCATCACATGGAAAAATGACAAGTCTATTCCGTTAAGTTCAAGGAGTAAAACTAGCTCCATTAAATGTCAGGAGGTAGATATTAATTCAATTTTCATTCATCAAGTACTTACTGAGTGCCAGGCTTATTGTGTTCCACTTTATAAAAACAAGTAGCAAAATGAAACCCAACAGGAAAAAAGTTTCACATAT